ACACAAGTGCTAAGCTATGCCAATGTTTTAGAAACGCAGCCACCCCACTCAACACCCTGCCTCCCGTCCATCGCCATCGCCATCTTCACCAGCCAACTCAAGCGTCTCCATCCTTCACCCTGGCGAATCCTCGCCCAACGAACGGAGGGGGGACTTTTGCTGGATTCACCATCTCCATTACGAACACACTACTATGCAACCTCGGCACATATGCACAAAAGTCACGGCAGGTATTTATATATACATGGTCGAAACAGAAACGCAAGCCTCCGAGGTCAACTCTGAGAAGGCTCGTAGCCAGCTTACGCGCCGGCGGCCGGGGCGGCCATCATGGAGGCGGCGAACGTCGCGGCCTCGTCGGCGTCGTTGCCGTAGGTGAGATGAGCCCGGCGGATTTGGTTGCCGCCCTCGCAGATGTTGTCGCCATTGTGGCAGATGACCTTGGTCCTGGAAGCGTCGACGCCCTGCACGGCCTGGCCGTTGACTATTCGAACCATCAGTATTGAATTTTCTGAAGTTTTTTCACTCGAGAACTTACGTGGGTCGCCAAAAATGACCACGCCAGCAACCTTGGCCGTCATCTCCGCCGGCATCATCGCCGCGCCGTTGTGCACGAGCTGGCCGCCTTGCGAGTAGCCAGACATGATGACGGCCGAGTTGGGGCAGTTGGTGATCGCCTGCTGCGTCAGGGTGGCCATCTCCTGGGAGCCGTTGGCGTCGCCGCCGGCGAGGAAGCCGGGCACGTCGGCGGGGTACTCGATGCCCTGGACCTCGAGGTTGCCCCCGACCTGGGCGGAGAGCGCCTGGAAGAAGGGCGGGCCGGCGATGGTGCCCACGTTGCCGCGCTCCGTGGTGCCGCGGGCGAAGACGACGATCATGTTGGCGCATGCGCCGCCCTGCAGGCCGTTTTGCGTGTTGCCCGAGAAGTCGGCCTGGCGCTTGGTGATGGGGGTGGAGGTCGCCGTGCCCAGCAAGGCGAGAAGGGCTGCTGATGTCGTGAGATGCATCGTGAAGTGAGTGTGGTGGTGGGAGATGATGAAGGATTGACGATGGTTGCAGAGATTAAATTACTAGGCGATGGAAGGAAAGGCTTAACTTTGAGATATCACTGGTCAGGCACGGGAAGATGAGATGGGCGGCGGCGTTGGATTCTTATACCGGAGATGCGGAAGACAAGCTTGGCCTTGACATTTTCACTTTCCACGTTTGCACGCAAGCCGCACCGATATGGACCAGCCTCCGGATGGACAGGCCGCCGTGACGGGCAGCGAGGGAGGGAAGAATAAGCTTCTTTCGTTCGCTTATTGCGGTGTGTGTGATGTCGTCTGCTCCAGGGCAGCTTCAGGTACCGCAACCTCATCCCAATAGGGAAAGGAGGGCGGATCAGAGGCAGGGACCTCACGTGGGATCAGCCTGATGGCGACACTGGACGGGAACAGGGGAACAGGGTTGCCTCATGTTCAAGACGAAAGGACTCTCGGGGAGTGTTGGTCGAGTAGTTTGCTCTTCTCGCGCGCGAGTCCTCGTTGGTTGGAAGAAGATAGGGCCGGGACATGTGGACCCTTGGAAGCTTGATCTGCCCTGCTGGGCGGGCTCGAGGCTGATCGAGAGAGTGAGGATGAGCGGCATCGGGGCCGGAAGAACAGACGGGGCTGGATGCGATTGGGCGTGGCCGTTTCATGGGTGTGGCCGGTCTGGTGTGTGTGTAGCCATGGGGTTTGAGCAACTCGAAACATCGGGCGGGCTGTGCGTCGAGGGCCACCGGGGACGAGGGGCGGATGGGAGGCGCACCGAGTGCTTCCAAGCTTTTCAAGAGTGTACCAGCCTAGTTTTGGTGGGCTGAAGAGTTGGGGAGGTCTTGCTGCCCACAACATGGGACGGCGTGCAGATTTCGCGCTGGTGAACCAATGTGGAAGTCCTCCGCCGCAGCGGATTGGCAGGTTCTCTATTCCTCTGACAGCGCTTTGTTCCCTCGTCGGTCTGATGTTTTCCCACAATGTCGGCATGTCGTCTCGAGTCCGACCCAAGGTTGGTGTTAATTGCGCTCACTTCGCAACGTTCGGAATTCCCGACGGTGCGAAGGTTGACGTGCATCATGCCTCTTGGCTCTCGGCAGCTGGGCGCGGGAGGCCATGTACGTATGGCGTGCGCCGTCGGATTTTTGGAGGCCCGTCGAGTGTGCTTAACATCATCTCGAGTTTTCTTCAGGCGGTGTGACGGATGTTGTAGGGATGGACTTGTCCGGAGTCTGGTGAGGGGAAGATGCGTGCAACGATGACTAAAGGGGTAGATTGTGATCTCACTTCGGTACCGATACGCTGGCTCGGCATGTTGTCAGGGAGGAAGTGCGATTAGGTTGGAGGCGATTGGGAAGGGAGTTGACTCGCGGTGACAGCCAGATGACACCGGGGAGTCGCCGAGGGGGTTTGAGTTGGGAGAGTCATTGGCTTGCTTTCTGTGTGAACTAGTCGAGACAGAACGTTGAGGTTATCCCCAAGGAAGACAATGTGGTTCTTGTCACGCCTTGATGGCAGAGAAACCGTTGCACGACGATTCTGAGGTGCAGCCACTGTGGAATGTGTCGTCACCCCAATGACGGCTGCAAACGGGATTGCGTTGAAAGAAGCTTGCGGGATTCGCGCTGCCAAGGGAAACATCCGGAAGATCGGCCCCCGCATCGACGCCACGGGGCACGGGAGCTTAAGTTTGGCCCACCTTTCGGTTGATATCACGTTAACTTTTCTGCCCATGTTTCTAACGGTCCGTTTGTGCCTGGATCCTCTTTGACATGCGTTTTAGCCCTGAGCGTTGGACACCTGTTTTCCTAAGCCGAAAGACGCGGCTGACCGATGATTATCAAGAAACAATGCTCATATCAGAGATATCGCGGGCCTCGTAGTGGTCTAAGCTAGATCACGAGCTCGGGGACAGGGGAATTTGCCAGTTATTGCTGCCGTGAATGTGGATTATGAAATCTTCCATTGTGCCTGAAGCCATTGTTTGACCTCGGCTGGCAATACGTCCGCCGGGTGTCAAACATTTGAAAATTGATAGATAAAGAACAACAACCGAGAAAGCATCCTTAGCTAGCTCTCAACTCCAGATCCTCAAACGAAACCTTCGACACAACGATGCTCCACACTCTCGCCGTGTGGTTAAGCATCCAGGTTCTCAACGGTTCTCGATTGCCCTCTACGCTAGCTTTGAAGCCCTCAGACAGTCGTATTGGTTTCGCCGACAGTACCAACCAGTTCCCATGCCTCGGGGCCAATTTTGTCAGCGGTATGTTTGAGCTCAGCTCTGGTGATTATACCATTACGATTGAAGTCCAAAATCACAATGATCTTCTCAACGTGTCCGTGTGTCCATTCATGATGGATATCTGTGATATCCACGTTGCAAAACACGCGGTCCCGATCGTATGTGATGTTTGTGCACCGAGTTTTTTTCTGTATTCCGAGAAGAAGCCCGCAATCTCTAAGGGGGTGTGAAATTTTCGACTGGTGCCATCTAAATTGACGATGATCCACATTCTTTCGTGATCACAGAGGTGCAAAAAGTCCTCCGCGTCGTGGTCTTGAATGACACGAATCAGGAAGAGCCTGGCGAGAAGAGCATAGAGGGGGCCTGTGCGATGTCCAACGTAGTCTTGGGCTTCAGGATCATTGCTCCATGAGGGAACCAGGTTCTTCAACCTGATCATCTCCTGTATCTGCGTTGGAGAGGGATTTGGCGCGGATGTGGCTGATCCTCCAAAGATAAGGGCGAGTTGACGCATCTGTTCTGCTCCAGCACCATGACCTACCGGCCTTGGCGTTGACGAAGCAACAAAAAACCCATCAAGGATTTCGAAGTCCGTCGGCTCAGGGAAGGGATTGTCCCAAGTGGACTCAGGTGTTTCTGCTCGGGGGATTGGCGAGGGCATTGTGCGATTGTTGGTCCCTTAGTAGACTTGCGGCATTAAGTTGTGAGTCGAGCGAATGTAGCAACAGAAATCAGAACTTTTTGATCGAAATCTGGATGCTAGAAGGTATCAGATAAGCAGCTGAAATTTTGATATGCTGTTAAAAGTTGGAGGAGATTGGATCATTAGTTGGCGACAGCATGCTTTATTTCAAGTAGCAAGTGGATGGGACAACGTCAAATACCGCTATCAAGCTGGCTTTGACAAAAGTTTCGTTCTTTGACCAAAAGCCTGTCGATGAAGTTTCTCCTTGCATCCTGAATGAACAGCATCCTAAGATTACAGCACCACTGAATGGCAGATTCGGCTTGTGATGAACCAAGTGTAACATGAAGCCGTCCGCACTCAATCGCCTGGCGCACAATGTACACCTTCAAGGGACTTCTCCGGCGATTGTGCTTTGCTAAAAATCTTTTACTGCAGTAAATGCGCTATATGGCCAGGGGCTAAGATTTTTTTCTGATTTATGGCCGCCCATGGTGCCGTCAAGAGATGTTTTTGATGTCCGACACTCCCTTACCGCCCAACATCGTTAAGCTTGAATCGGTATCGGACTAAATGGAGACGATATCGTCAAATTTATCACGGCATCGGGTCTGTGTGGTGAAGATCTTGCGCTGTGCAGGCCAAAAATAGGATCCTTGAGCCTCCACTGATTGAGGTGCATCTCCTGACTTCGGCAAGGACCTGAACATCAACAACACATTCTGCACCAACATGCAAGCACACCCGGGTTCTGCGGTTGCTCTGTGGATACGAGAAATGTGAGCGTGCGAATGGGATCGACGGACTGGGGCTGTTGGGACGCCTGCATGTTCATCACATCCAGAATGATCCGCGACGGGTACTGGCCAAGACGAGGGGGCCGGACGAGGCAGCGGGCTCCAACACACAAGCGCGAGTGTGACAAAAACCTTCCCCCTCCCATGCCCTCAATCTATTTCTTTGGACTTCGGTTTTGTTTCGTTTTTCATCCTTCTTACCGGGTTTGGTTTACCTGCACGAAGAGCGCAATCCCATTGAAGTGCTGATTACTATGTCTCAGCCTCAAGACAAGCACGAAGCTCAGCTAGCTGCTGACGAGGGCGTACGGTTGAAACCTCGAATACTTTTTTTGAGTTGCTAATGAATTGCAGGATGATCCCCGCTCGGAAATCGGAAGCGTGAGGGTTTATTCTAGGGGTCAAGCGCATTTACCCATGACTTGCTAATTGCCAAACCACCAGAGTATTGCTTCCTCAAAAACAAGTCTTCGCGACTCTATAATCGATTATCGCATTGAAAACGGCCGAACATACCATCGTTACAAAGAGGGCAGTGAGTGGCTACTGATACATGAGTAATTAGTGTGTTTTTTGACAAGCTCCGTTAGAATACAATCTCCCGAATGACGACCAGGAAAACAGCAGGCTTGGTGAGCTTTAACGCCATGGCTCGCGACGTAGAACTGAGTTGATGCTTACTCCAGAACCACACCAGATTCAAATCATCAGCTGTGGTTGATCACTCTTGATAACAAACTCGGTGTTGCCCCGCCCTGCGAAAAAGACTCGACAGTCGGCCGAGTGCTTGATGTCGGCACTGGCACAGGCATCTGGGCCATTGACTTCGGAGACGAACATCCGGAAGCTGACGTGAGTAGTCAAATACTTGTTTCTTCTGCGTCTTTGAGAGCGATGAATGCATGATTGACTTTTCATTGCAGGTCTACGGAAACGACCTATCCGCCGTTCAGACTACTCTGTGAGGAAACATTTCATACCCAGGATCGTGAGAGTGCTAATAGCTCTGTACAGCGTACCGCCAAACGTCAAGTTTGAAGTTGATGACATCGAAGACGAGTGGACATACTCTCGTCCATTTGAGTACATCCATAGCCGGCTCATGACTTCCAGTCTCAGTGACTGGCCCGTGTTCCTGAGGCGTTGTTTTGAGTGAGTCATTCCACGTTTACCTTCATCAATGTGAGGGTGATATTTCCATTTTCTTATCATGCCCAAGCGCTAACAAAGAGGTGGCCTTGAAGTAATCTGGAGCCTGGCGGTTACCTCGAATTAAAAGAAACCGACATCATTCCACGATCTGACGATGACACCCTCAATCCCGCGCATGCGATCATGAAATGGGCTAATCTCCTTCTGCAGGCGTCAATCAAGCTTGGGCGGCCCTACATGGAGATCCCAACTTTGAAGCAGCTCATGATAGACGCAGGCTTCGAGGATGTCACAATGCACGTCTATAAGTGGCCTACTAATGGGTGGCCTAAGGACTCGAGACATAGGGAGATTGGCATATGGAACTACGAAAATACAATGATGGGCTTAGAAGGCTACACGATGGCCCCGTTAACGCGCGCTCTGGATTGGACGCCAGCAGAGGTTGACGTCTTCCTCACTGATGTGCGCAAGGACCTCAAGGATCGAAGCATTCATGCCTACTGGCCCCAGTAAGTCTTACATCTACATGTTACCAGAAGGGGCTGTCTTCTGATCATTTCACTAGGTACGCCATCATCGGTCGCAAGCCGCGAAAGATGGAGGCGTCAGCAATTGCCTGAGGGCCGTCATTACCACAACTTGTCTACACCCAGCCGCATTTTGATCAGGCCTCAATTGAAGTCCGTATCTCAAATTTCTTGGCAAAGGAATTGTGCCACTGGCATAATCAACTTAAATTTTGCAAAACTTCCTTCCGCGGATGCGGCGGAAACCAGTCGGGATCATGACCCCTGCGCTCGCTTGTGAAGCATTTGCCCTTCTCGGTGGACATGTCATTACTGACAAACATATCTTGATGGGCATTGGTTATGACGAATATGCAACGTCGCACCTGCTCCAATTCTCTCTTTTCTCATTCGTGCGCAGCTCTTCATGTCCACAAAACTGGCTGCATAACATGGGTGTTTATGCACGTTGGTGCAGAAGACCAGTCGGCCAAGAGGAGGGGCCCGGTCGTACAAAAACCGCAATGTTCTCCCCGCCCCTACCTACCGTTGCATTTTTCTTGCATACTTTCTCTTGTTTCCTCTAGAACTACTCCTTGCGCGTGGTTCGATTGAAACGTTGATCACCATGGCCCACCCCCAGAACGACTTTGAAGTCCAGGTTACTGCTGATGAGCCTGATGAGCAGGTAATGAGCGCATTTGCAGTTGCAACCCGTTGTAGGCCCTATTCTGACTTGGCATACAGCAGGATGACAGCCACTCAGATATCGAAAGTGTAAGCCTATATATCATTTGGCACTGGAACAAAAATTGGGCCCTGGAGCTTACTGAGACTACCAGGTCATTGCCTCATCCACAACCAGCCTTCGCGAATCCGTGCAGGACTACCTTGTGGAGAATGGGCGCACCTATCATCGGTACAAGGAAGGCAGTATGTTCATAATTCTGCGGTAACGATGTCTTCTAATATGGTCAGAATACAATTTGCCCAACGATGAGAGAGAGAATGACAGAACAGGTCAGACTATTCCATTCACCTCCGTTGGCGTAATTGACCGAAGCACAGACATGATCCATGCCCTGTGGCTTCTCACGCTTGAAGATAGGCTTGGGCTCGCTCCTCCATGTGATCTTGAGACCAAGGTCGGCCGAGTTCTCGACGTTGGCACAGGCACGGGAATATGGGCAATCAACTTCGCAGACGACCACCCAGAATCTGAGGTAGTCTCTGTCTTTTATACATCCGATGCCTTACATGAGACACATTTATCATGATATCTAACATTGAACAGGTTCTTGGAAACGATCTTTCGCCGATTCAGCCAGGCGAGTCAGTGATTTGGACCTGGGCACGCCTTACATTCGCTACTGGACTAACTTCGCATGCGCAGTGTGCCGCCCAATGTGCGGTTCGAGGTCGATGATATCGATGATGAATGGACATTTTCACAGCCATTCGATTACATCCACAGTCGAGTTATGACCTCAAGTATTGCCGACTGGCCTCAATACCTAAAGAAGTGCTTCGAGTAAGACAATGACTTTGTGTTTCAGAGTTTGGCTTCTGCGGGTATAAGTTGACTTGAGATAACGCAGCAATCTCAAACCCGGCGGTTATCTCGAGCTTCAGGAAGGCGATCTCTTCCCCACATCGGACGATGGGACTCTTTCAAAGGAAAGTTCATTGATGAAGTGGGCGGACCTCTTGTACGATGCTTCAGTCAAATTCGGCCGCCCATTTGTGCAAGTCCCTTCACTAAGGCAAGCTATGATTGACGCTGGCTTTGAGGACGTCACCATGAGCACTTATAAGTGGCCATCTAATAGCTGGCCGAGGGATGTTCATTTTAAGGAGCTCGGGATGTGGCAGAGGGAGCAAATGCTCAGCGGGCTAGAGGGGTTCAGCTTAGCTCCTTTGACACGTGCCCATGAATGGACACCCACGGAAGTAAGCGTCTTTCTCATCGACGTTCGAAAGGATATCAACGACAGAAATATTCACGCATACTGGCCGGTGTGAGTCACCCCATATCACCAAATGCAGAGGCTTCGGATGGTTTCAACTGACACACTTAGGTACTTCCTCGTTGGTCGGAAGCCGTTGAACAGCTAAAACGCTTCCAATACAGAGGTTCCATCCAGATCTTGCTCACCCGCGCAAGTTGGTGGACCACCGCATGTCGAAAGAAACCGACATCTTGAACAAAAACGCACGTGAGGACTGTCAATCGGAAGTCTTATTGCATGGTTTAGACGTTAAAGCAAGAGTCGGACAACGGATGAAACGTGCAACGAGGAGTCGAGAACTACATAGACCATCAGCCACCCAGGATTTGGGGGGCTCTGTGAATATTCACATGGATTTGTTGGCCCTCTCTATCCAGACACCCGGGAATAATCAGAAGTGCTCGGGAGCCCCATCCACAAGCGGCTCGTTATGTGTGGGCGGCGTGATAACGTGGGTCAAGAATCGACTGCATTCCAGCCGGGGCTTTGATCCCACATCCGCGCCGCTCGGCTTCTTATCCTAATGCAGGGAAACATGTCACCCAGAGGCAGGCTGGACCCAATTTTGGCGGTGATAGAGATATGAGATGTTTGTCTGCTTGTTTTCTCTCTTTCTATTCGTGAATAATGCAACCGATCCACAAAAGGTGGCCTTGTCACGAACATTTTATGCACGTCGGTGCAGGATACAGAACGCATGTGGTTGCCAGCCAAGGAGAGGGGGGAGGCGGGGGTGAAGGCCGGCTCCGTGAGACACCCGGGGTATTTGAATTGTGTCGTATCTCCCATCGACCCAGAACCCTGGGACTGTTTCCTCTTGCTCAGCATTTTCCCTCGGCAACCAACACGGTTTCAAAATTTTGTTGATAAATCGCGCGTCATGTATCAAGCTCCGGAGAGTAACGAAGTCCAGGTCGCGATCGACGACGTGGTATGCGCGCTTCATTCAGGATTTGAAGTTCAATCTAACATTGGCATAGCCTGGCGATGATGATTCCCGATCGGAAATTGGAAGTGTAAGCTCGGTCCTCTCGCCACCCTTCTCATCTCAGACTTCATGAATAGTCTGCAACGCTTGATGGGCATCGGACCTAACACACTGAATAACAGAGCGTGGCTTCTTCAACCACCAGTCTTCGGCCTTCACTTCGGGATTATCGTGAGGAAAATGGCCGGACGTACCACCAATACAAGGACGGCAGTGCGTGATCTGTGCCGCTTGAGACTATGGCTCTCTAACCACCACACTAGAATACAACCTTCCAAATGACGACAGAGAGCTGGATAGGCAGGGTGCGTGGCGGTGTCTGTGTTATTCACAATCCACTAATTGAGAACCAAGATCTGGAGCACCAGTTATGGCTTCTTACCCTGGACGACAGGCTCGGTCTTGCCCCGCCGTGCCAGCCGAACGCCAAGGTCGGTAGAGTACTCGATGTCGGAACAGGAACAGGAATCTGGGCTCTGAACTACGGTGACGAACACCCAGAGGCTGAGGTAATGTTGCTCAATATTCTTCCCACATCACGCCATGAGACTCTTACATTATTTCCGGCCTTAGGTCTATGGAAATGATCTTTCTCCGGTTCAGCCCGGCCAGTAAGTACCACCAGCACAGACTGCTAGGAGTGCCTACGTCCTGTTCAGAGCTAATGTTCCGGGTGTAGCGTGCCGCCTAATGTCAGATTCGAGGTTGACGATGTAGAAGACGAGTGGACCTTTTCTCGCCCATTCACGTACATCCATAGCAGAGTAATGACCTCCAGCATCAGCGATTGGCGCCTCTATCTGCGTCGCTGCTTTGAGTAAGTCTATTGCTGAAGTTCAAAATCCAAGTTTCGCAGCGATACTAAACACGTATAACCTAGCAACCTCGAGCCTGGTGGCTGGCTTGAACTTCAGGAGCTCGACTGCGTCCCGCGCTCCGATGACGGAACCCTCACTACGGAAAGCCCCCTGAATAAATGGGCTGATCTTCTTGTTGAGGCATCTGAAAAGCTCGGACGTCCTTACGTCCGAATTCCCCCGCTCAAGGATCTCATGGCTGAAATCGGGTTCGAGGAAGTGGTCATCTACATGAACAAGTGGCCCACGAATAGCTGGCCTAAGGATTTGAAGTTCAAAGAGCTGGGAATGTGGCAAAACCAGAGCATGATGGAAGGGCTCGAGGGATTTACCATGGCGCCTTTCACGCGCGCGCTGGAGTGGAAGAAGGACGAGGTCAACGTTTTCCTCATTGATGTCCGCAAGGAGATCAACAACAGGGAAGTTCACGCGTACTGGCCTATGTGAGTATTGAGGCGCTGTGATTAGCAGAGAAAGGCCCCTGCTAACAAGCATAATCTAGATACTTCATCATGGGTCGCAAGCCTTTGAAGGAGCAGACGCCGGCTCCGGCCTAAGGGGACATCGGAATATCTGGCAATAGAGGCCAGCAGGCAGCGTATATTGAGAAGCATCAAAAGCCGATACAGATTGAGCGAATTTGATAGGGTACATAGAGCTCAACATCAGGAGTTAGCCTCGAGGAAATCACTGAGATAGCCACAACTGCCGACTATTACTAAGGATAGTTCCGAGGTGCTCTTACTGTTTTTTCCCCTAAGCGAAAACCCCTACTGGGTGGGCTCGAAATTTCCTCAACATTACTTGGAAATAGTTATGTTCGCGTCATGTTTAACAGACGAGCTAATTACAGTAACAAAGCATCTAGAATGGAGACTAGATCAGGTGAATTGACATCAAACGGCTGTCACATCAAGTGTGTCGCTGCAGGAACCTGCCATCGCAGATTCTCTAGACGTCCTGGTCAACGTCGCTGAAAGCGCCCTCCTTACAGTCCCAGCTTTGTGTTTGATGTGCCTCATGCGCATCCGCTTGAACCTGAGTGTGGCGATCCAATTATTCATAAACAAATAACCGAACACCATGACGACACCTGCTGCAATAATCAGAGGTCCGAGGATTGAGAAGACAGTAAATCCGTATGATGCCCTTTGGAAAGCATCATTATTCTCAAGTATCTTTGTGCTAAGCCCGACCTGCATAGCAGCCAAAACGACAACTAGGTAAGTGGTCGAGCTGGCCATCCATGTTAAGTTGCCCTCGAAGAACGGGCCGTACTGGTTTCAGTAAGATCGGTAGGCGCGTAGTGGGGTCTTCCATAGGTAGTTAAGCTTGTTCAGACGGTTCAAGCGCAGCTCGCCGTAGTGGAAACGCGGATCAATATCGCAGTGGATGTTTTCCTTGTCTAGCAGCTCTTTGACGAACTTCCGCCATGGCGACCAGTTGACCTCTTGGGCGAGCAGGTGCTTCTCGTGAGCGCTGATGAAATCGTTCTCATGAGAAACGAGCGCTGCGTAAGAAAAGAGAAAGCCGAGAGCTCGCTGTCTTCAAAGCCTGCAGCTACATGACTCCTGATCGACGTAATGAATGCCTCTATGAGGGCCTGACTTGCTTGCAAGACAGGTGGTCCTGCCAGAACCGAGGCTCCATGAGGAATTGTGGTATAGGTTTGATCCAGATTCTTGACTTGCTCCAAACGAGATGCATATCCATCTGCTCAGTGGCTTGTATTTGGCATCCAACCAAGTTCTGGTAGTGCAATGGTCGCGGGGGCAACGGTCTGCGGGCAAGCCACAACCAATCATGAACATCAGGTAGACGCTTGAGGTTGAGCTATCTATTGATACACTCGAGCATAGTTGTTTCGGAAGCACTTAGATCGATTAGGTTCTCGTGTGCGTCCCGGTAAGCTGCAGGTAGCAATGAAGCATAGGTATCGTCAATGTCTAGTTTATCGATGCCTCTGTCTGTATCGCTCAGTATAGAGATGTGGAATGGGCTCGGCTGTTGATATTCAATCAGAGTTCGAGTTTCCACAGCATCTAAACGGTTCGTCTACCCGACCCCCGCGCGTCATCTCGACGTCTCCGTTTTGATCGCTCATAATGATAGGCTAAATCCCGTTGGGTTTCCAAACATTGGACTTATAACGGTGAAAATCGTAGAAACATGAAATAAGTTCTTCTAAAGCTTAAGGGGTGACGCGTTCTTTTTACTTGTCTTACTTGATCGATTTAGCGGCCAGTATGGATGTTATTGTTGCAATTGCTACGCAAATCAACTGGATCAGGTGGTCTGGAACACCCAACCAAAAAGATCAAGTATGTCACTTTCTGCATTTTGTAAAATGTCTGCCTGGGGAAGTCCTGCCTGATTGCGGCAAAGCCTTTTCTTCTGCACCTATTTTTGAACGCCTGGCCAAAGCCTTGCTTACTTCTCGGACTCGCGATCCTTGCAGCTGACCGACAGTTCACACTAGCATCACCCTCTGGCCTGTAGAAAAGAGGGAACAACACACCATCATTTCAAGTGACTTAACATGTCGTTTTTCCAGTTAAATCTCTGCTGAGGGGCTGTTTTCACGACATCAGAACCTCCCACATTTGACCTACTTAAGGAGGTTGGACTTCAAAAAAGCCACGGATGATTTGAAACAGCTTCCTTGTGACTGCTAGACATATTCGATTGTTGTTTCAATTAACAAATACTTCCGTCCTTTAGCTGAGCCTCGTCCAACCCGTTCCCCAAAGAGGGTGTCAATGCAGGATTGCAAGCCCAAGCACGATGACCCCAGCCGAGACGCAGAAACAGAAACAGAATGCGGAGATTCAGAATGCGGCTTTGGCCGTTAGCATCATCACTGGCTGGCTGGGTTTCTTTGCCTACCTATACAAAATTCATCGCTCGCGAAAATCCAGAAAAGTGGTCGAGGAACTCGACATGACCGACCTCACCCGATACGACATTCAGTCTGCCTTGGATCCTAAGAAGACCTTCAAGACAATCAACAAGACGTGGGAAGACCATCTCAAGAAGAAGGCAGCAGAGCGACTGGCGGAAGAGAACAGCACTGCCGATGGCGAACCTGTATGGCTGTCGCTATGGGCCTTCAAGGGCGAGCTACGACACTGGCTGCTTCTTGCGCACCGCTACAAGTATGAACTGAGGAGAGAGCGGCGGCCTAATCCGGCCTCTGAAGAAGAACTTGGTAACGGTCGACCTTCTGCCACGGAAGAGACACCAGAGACCGAAGGCCTCGTTGAACCTATCGAAGATGTCACCAATACATCCGGCTTCGGCAAGTTTTACGAAGCCGCTACCCGTCAGTACTCGAACTACGCATCAGATATAGAGCAGCGGGATAAATCGATTGGGACTCGGGCAAAACCTGAAGTCCAAACCAAAGGCGGCCTCGTCATCATGGTGCTCATTGGGTGGACGAACAAGACAAAGGACCAAGTTGACGAGGCATTCCGGCAGGTCGAGAGGGATTTTGGAGATTACCATCTAACACGCAACAACTGCCAGCACTTTGTGCGGAACCTAGCCGACCTCATCGTTACTAAGTCATCGCAGGATTGGGATTGGTTTCGAAAGATGTCCTTCAAACGTTACGAGGAGTACGTGGGCCCGCAGACTTTGGGGACCCCTGGAGGGCTTTCTCGGTTGTTGTTGGATAAGCTGGAAGCTTTGAGGGACAGCGGGACCATTACTGACCCTGTTGCCTTGAGGGTACTGGATGGTCACATAGAAGCACTCAAGCTGTACCTGATGACTCTGCGGCTGGAAGTCAGCAATATATGCATTGCCAATGCATGGAGAGGAGGACAGATTGTTGCTGCGGACCAAACTTTGCTCATGACTTAACTTGGATCGCTTTGAATTGGTACTATTCGCGCGGAGGAATTAGGGAAAGGGGGTCTACGTTAGCTTCTTTGTATTTCACATTCGTGGACGGAGGCTTGGTTCATGGACATTTCATCTATTGGGACCACAACACACTAACATGCTTTGTTGTGCTGCATAACTGCCAGCTCCCTCCTCATTCCCCTCTCTTGAAAACGAACGCTTCGCTGCTAGCGTACGTGGAATCTACGTCTAATGTTCATAAAGTTTTGAACGCCGGCATAAAAAGAATTTTAATTACATGGGAATCAAAGACTCATCGCATAAAAAGAGCCTCTTTCATGAGCGGGTAACAGCAATAGCCTCCTCCAAAATGTCAAGACCCTGCTGGATCTCCTTCTCGGTGATGGTCAAAGGGGGCACGAAACGGAGGGTGTTGGTGCCGGCGGTGATGATGAGCAGACCGCGCTCGCGGGCGGCCTTGACGATGGGCGTGGGGTCCTGGGTGAGCTGCAGGCCGAGGATGAGGCCGCGGCCGCGGACCTCCTGGATGAGCTCGGGGAAGCGCTCGCGGAGGGCGTCGAAGCGGGTCTTGAAGATGGCGGCCTTGGCGGTGACGCCCTTCTGCAGGGCGGGGTCGGCGAGGCGGGAGACGATGTTGTGGGCCAGGCGGCAGGCGAGGGGGTTGCCGCCGAAGGTGGTTCCGTGGTCGCCGACCTTGATCTTGTCGGCGACGTTCTTGTTAACGACGGTGGCGCCGATGGGGAAGCCGTTGCCGAGGGCCTTGGCGGTGGTGATGATGTCCGGGTGGGCCTCCTTGGGCAGGTGGGTGTGCGCCCAGAAGGTGCCGGTGCGGGAGAGGCCGCACTGGATCTCGTCGTAGATGAGGACGGCGCCGACCTCGCGGCAGCGCTTGGCGAGGGCGACGAGGAACTCGTCGGAGGCGGGGGTGACGCCGCCCTCGCCCTGGATCGGCTCGACGATAACTCCGCAGGTCTTCTCGGTGACGGTGGCGTTGATGGCCGAGACGTCGTTGAACTTGCCGAGCTTGAAGCCGGGCAGCATCGGGGCGAAGGGCTCCTGGTACTTGGGGTTGTGGGTGGCGGACAAGCTGCCCATGGTGCGGCCGTGGAAGGCGTTGTTGAAGGAGACGACATCGAACTTGTCGCTGCCGGGGTTGGAGACCTTGGCGGCCTTGCGGGCGAACTTGATGGCGGCCTCGTTGGCCTCGGAGCCGGAGTTGCAGACGAAGACGGAGTTAGCGTCGTGCATGGCGCCGGCCTCGAGGGTCTTCTCGACGAGAAGCTTGGAGAGGGCGCCGGTCCAGGGGTTATAGTAGAGGTTGGAGGCGTGCATGAGAGTGCTACCCTGGTACGTGACGGGCTGTGTCAGTGACTTGCGCAAAATGACTCAACCATGGCTCGGAGTTACCACCTACCTGCTCGGTCATGAGCTTCGTGATCTCGGGGTCGCAGTGGCCCAGGGCGTTGACGGCGATACCAGCGGTGAAGTCGAGGTATTGCCTGTTCTCGACGTCCCAGAGGACAGAGCCCTGGCCCTTCACGAACACCGGGGGCGGGCGGGCGTAGGTGGCCACCATGTAAGGCGCATGTTCGCGGACGAGAGCGGCGCTGGGGGAGTCTTCGGTGGGATCGGGGTTCGGGACGGAGGCTTCCTTCTGTGAAGTATTGTCAGTCCAAACCCCCCATGGAAAAACATCGTGACTCCGTCTCGGAGGAGGACGACTTACGCTGATGCTCTCGGGGATGCTGGAGGCGGCGGCGGTCGCAGAAGAGAGCGCACGGGCGTTGAACCGCGAAGAGACGGCCAGGAGCGGCTGGCACTTGGCCAATTGAAGTCGCAGAGGAGCACGGAACGCCATTATGGTGAGTTGGAGGGCAGACTCGACTCCGTGGGAAAACAGAGGTGTTGTTGGAGGAGGAGAGCAGTGATAAAATTTGGGCCGGTTCGCGCATGGATCGACGGGGTTAACAGAAAAGCAGCAGCGAGTGACTCGACAATCGGCTTATCGATAACGCCCTTGCGCCTCCGACGTTTGGCACGTTTTGGAGGGGCAGCGCTCCACTAGTGACTTCGGTCCGGCGGGTACTCCGTTTTTAGCGCTTCCCGGGGACGCCCGCTCCGATCTCGGGCCCAAGCGCTCAATCTTTCGGATGAACCCCACGTTCGTTTATCCATGCTATCACATAATAGACATGTGCTTACGGATACAAGTGTTTGAGAAGTTTCAGTTACGTCAGTTAAACGTAGGACTATTTACACAACTTCATAACTCCTGCTCAATTGGCCTCGAGCAGAGTCTCGTCAATGATGCGCTTGGCCAACCAGTCACATCTACCCCGAGCAATAGTCGGATCGATGCCCCTAGCAACATGCGTTGAGTTATTAGCTTCACCCAAAACAAGAAGGTTGCCCTTGGCACCGTATGGCTCGAAACCAATTACATTCGGTGCAGTCGGCACTCCGCTCGTGACAAAGCTAGCGATCCAAGACTGAAGAACCCTTGAAACCGCAACGTCAACGCCTGTAGTAGGTGGGAAGGGAGCTCCAGCTGGGTCAATCGCTTCACCACGATAGAAAGTGAAACCAAGATCTTGACCGTGGACACCGGGTGAGGCTGCAAACTGATAGTTGTACGTAGCATTCCCCAAGCCACGCGATGTGAAGGGCTGGTTGCAGGTGAAGCAAAACTCCCCAAAGCTCTGGTAGGCCCGCTCGAAGTTGTCGGTGTAGCCTTGAGACCCATCGAAAATGGGAGGATACACCTCTTCCTCCAGGGCGGTAGCGCTGTCGTTGCTGATGCCGGCAACAAGAGTGCGCACGTACTCGGAGTAGGCCTCGGTGGTGTTGATTCTAGGGTCGCCAAAGAGGATACCTTCGTTGGCGTTGGTGCCAATCAGTGCACGAACGTGGTCGAACTCGCCGCTAAGCAACATTCGCGCAGGCTCCTCGGGAACAAAGACACCATCGACGGCTGGGTGGAAAGCGCCTTGGTACAGCTGGCGGGTGACAATGTTGTTGACGGCGATGAGGACGTCCGACGGCAACTTGCGCAATGCTTCGAATGAAGAGACATTTGCAGCGCTCAGCACGGTCTGGACGACATCCTCGAGTGCTGCACTGGACCGCGCCGGAACGAAGCCGGTGGACTGAGTGATGATCTGCTGGAAAGGGGCCGGACCTTGCTCACCACCAAAGGCCGTCAACTGGTGAATGATGGACCCGCCGCCTGCACTCTCGCCCATTACCGTCACGCGGTCTGGAGACCCACCGAAGAGATGGATGTTCTCTTTGACGAATTCCAGGGCCAACCTTTGGTCGTATAAGCCCGCATTAGGGGTTCCCTCGGCCTCTACTGTAGGGCCACCCAAGAAACCAAAGGCTCCGAGCTGGTTATAAATGTCAGCATGAGGTGGATTTGCGAAACCGAAGTGGGCCGAGAAATATGCCAACAAGGGTATGGCCATGGCAAAGATAGCACGCCATGGCAATAGAACAAAAAGAGAACCCACTGACCCTGTAGTTCATAGCAACGAAGATGAAGCCATCATCGCCAAGGCCCTCACTGGCTTGCAGTAAGCCGCTTGGATTATGCAGCCCCAATCCGGTCTTTTCTCCAATCAGGTACCCTCCGCCATAGATCCAGACCAACACCGGTGCCCCGGCGCCAGATCCGCGATTGTCATAGATCTTCTTCGGCACGATAACATCAAGAAACAAGCAGTCCTCTGAGATGCGAGGGTCGGCGGGCGGTTCAGTCTGGTTGGCAGCCTACTGTTGCAACTCTGCGAGGTCAAGCACCGTACCGCTGATGTAGGAGAGGATCCACTGTGTCACCGCCGTATCGTTGAAAAGAGTGAAGGGCTGAGGGCAAACGGCGCCGACCGAGCCATTATTAACAACGTAACTGGTGTTAGAAACTTTGACGGGCACAGGAGCTCGGAATCGGAGGTCGCCTACGGGCGGTTCGGCGAAGCGGATGTTCGAGAAGTTGTAGGTGCCTGCGTCGGCCTATGAGGTTCACCGAGTTAGCATCATTGTAATGCAAAACCAAGTTTGAAAGGTGCAGGGAGGCTTACATCATAGCTGATAGCTTGGTGGCGTTCCTAGAACGAAAGGCTAACATCAGTAGCTGCGAGTTAAACAGCCCATCACCACATGCTCCAACTCACATGAGGCAAGTCGACAATCGGTAAGTCTGGTGTCTGAGTGCCGTTTCTGCCATCATTGCACACGGCTCTCGATTGAACTCCTCGAAGAAGAAGTGCGAGAGCTACTGGGGAGAACTTCATAATGAGTGAGCGTGTGATCAAATGAAAGTACGTTGGATGTGATCTGCTCGCAGGCTCTGCAGCGTCAACTAATACCGCCCATCGGCCAATATTTATAAGATATCCGCCTCCCTAAATTGATCGCCATCAAAACTCTCAACGGCTGCCTGCCAAGCAACTCTGACATCTTTCCCGAATTTTGCTGCCGATGTAGTCGTCTTGCCGAACCCTGCTGCCGACAGAGCGGGTCTGGCCAATCTGATGTCCCGGCGTGGCCGGCATCACGATTCACAAAAGCCTGCATGGGCCCGACGGGATGGTTCTTCACCCTCAAATGGCTTGGCAGGACCCATGACTCCGGGAATAAGAAGGAAATGAGAAATGCGACGCTTAGAAGCGTGGAACTGTAATATCGCCATATTAATGTTCTAGCATGATTTGGCTAGCGTTCCGTCCTCAAAGATGATTCCTAGTCATGACAGCTGCAGCTTGCTGACAAAAGCTCGAGCCAACCGCGGGGATTACCCATCGGCGCGGCCAAGGGACGGTCCGTGGAGGTGACTTTTCACAGAGGCCCATGAAGTTTTCTATTTCTAAGCTTGAGCATCATTTCGGGATCGGTGTTTTCTTGTGACGAATGTCGGACCCAATGAGCGATAGTTCCGTTTTCGCCAAGACGACAAGCCTTCGATATTGAGCTTTTGCCCCGGGCGTCGGAGATGCTCATGCCCAGTCAATTATCCACTTCGGCCGAATGACGGCCCAGCCCCCTTAGAATTCATTCGATATCTTGCTGCAAGGAGCGTACTCGCCACGATGTTTGCGCAGTGTCTGTAGGGTGTGTCTCATTCAAGCAGCCCTTATGAGCGATCTAGGTACGCGGCACAGTTGATCACCATATGCCCAGCCGAATTTTCCTTTCATCATTTCTTCGACTCAGGTACCTGCCCATAAACCACATGACTGTATGCGGAATTAGTTAACGTCTTCTACAATGAGAAAGCAAAACTCACTAAACCATGTAAGCATGGAAGGCGTTATTCCGAATCTCATTGCGCACGTGCGCGAACAAGACCTGCGCCTCCGCCACAGTCCATCCCAAGACGCCGGTATACAACCTTAGGTTATAGGCCTCCAGCCCATCGAGAGCCTGAATCATGTTCATATGCCCGAGGTCCCTGAGATACGGGTCCTTTGGCCACATACCGAGTGGACACTTGATCTGCTTGTGGTGGATGTTTACGAACCCAGCCTCTCGCATCAACGGTTCCAGCAGGGGCCCGGGCTGCGGCTCGCGGCCTACCTTCCTAGAGCCCTCCATGAACATCTTGATCATCTTCATGGAGTAATGGTCGTCGGTGATGGATCCATCGTCAGACTTGAAGAGAAGATCCCAGTCCTGGAACTCGACCCAGCCACCGGGGTGAGTATTTCTAGATCAAGAATCAAGGTTAGTGCTGTTCGTGCAGATTTCATGATGCGGTTATATACTTGAAGGTGTTCTTCACGAGCCTGGGCCAGTCTGCGATTGCCCCTGCCATGAATCGGCAGTAGATGAAGTCGTAGTTGGGCGCCACCCAGGGGCTCTCCACGTCATCGACCTCGAATTTGACGTTCGGCGGGACCCTGGCTCCCGTCAATACACGCACTGATGTCATGAGTCAATATCATGATAAGGACGCACCATTCACTTTGAACAGGACTCAGGTCGTTTCCAATGACCTGCAAGGTATTTAGATTCGTTCCACTTGCCGTTACAGACTTGTGCGCGGCTAACCTCGGCGTCCGGAAACAAATCCGCAATCTCTATAGCCCCTTCAGCAGGTTAGCCAATGACAAGGGCAACATGAGAAGATTTTCACTAACAGATACCAGTTCCAGTTCCAATGTCCAGAATTCGGTGCACCTTGCCTTGTTCCAGAGGAGCGTGGTGCAGCTGGTTCTGGGTCAACTTGGTCAGGAAGCTAGCATTAAAGTCTAAGCGGTCGAGTTCGTCCTGTTCGTTTTGTTAGTCTTCAACGCTTGAAATCTTGGAAAAACGTGAGTAAGTTGTTACCGCATCGTTGGGCCCATAGTATGCTTGATTTGTCTCAGCGTCAATCCTTTTCCAGCCAAAAATTGGACCTCGAATCATCACTTACTGCCATGGCGGAAAGCGTGATAGCGTCGCCCATTCTCGGTGGGGTAGTCGTAGACGCTTGACGTGACGGATGTGGTATATCCGGAAATTGACCTGCGGAGTCAGCAGAGTTAATGGTTGAAGACACTCTTCTTACAGCTGTTCATCCGTAACGGAATCACGGTCGGCGATCTAGATACGTAGTCAGAAAGATTGATCGACTCTCTAGACGAGCCAATACATCATCACTTACACCTTCGTCGACTTCAATCTCGGCTTGCTGGGTCGCAGTTTCGATCGTTTGCCCTCGGATTTCGGCCTCAGGTGAGCCTGCCGATCTTGGCGAAGCAGTCTTGGACTTTGGAGGAGTAGCTTCAGCCCTTGGCGAGGGGGCTTTCGCCGTTGAAGGTGCTTCTGGAGACCTTGGAGCCTGTGACGAGTCCACCATTCTGTATGCAATTAGTCCGCAACCTCGGTCGACAGAGACCCAGAACTGTAGGCGCGAAGTTTGGCGGGATAAAATGTAACCTGCGTCAGAATTATCAGGAGAAAAGAAAGAAGCCCAGATTTGAAAAGAGGGGAGTAACGGAGGGGCTGATGGGTTCAAATCAGGAAGGCCGTTACAAATGACAGACGACGGATACTGTGGGTTCAACGTGCTCTTTGCAGACCGGTGACCGGCTGTTGGTGCAAGATGCGCGTTGTGCATGCCCAGCACGCGGATATGCAAGTGCGTTTTCTCATGTCGACACAACGCCCTCGTATCATCCAGGATCAAGCACTAATCAGCAGTTGCCAGTCTTCCGATGGTGGGTCCGTTGCTGATGTTCAGCGGCCCGACGCCAATAGGGTTCGACCCGTGCCGCTACCCCAGCCTTCTTCGAAGAACACCACCTGCATACATCAGGCCAGTTTCCGGGCCTAGTGCCTCTTCAGATCCATTGGCAGCGGCGAAGGGGGCAACAGTGCGAGGACTTTCACAAAATGTCTGCATTAATGTGCATTTCTTGCAGTTCTTGGAAATATGACAAAATATAATGGGGCCAATCCGCATGAGCAAAAAAGAAAAATTCATGGCGTCTAGCGATAGACTCGGCCACAGGAACTAAGATGACCTAGCCAAATGTCAGTCGCAGTCGGGTTTCATTACAGCAAACTCCTCTTTCTATCGGTTTCAAAGTGCAGGAGTTACTTGCTATAATTCTTGACAGCACTGGGCCGTGTGTGTCAGCTTACCGCAGTCAATATTGACAGTTTACGCTTTTGATTGAACCCAGATAATCGTCATGCGGCACCTAGCAAACTCCATGTACGTCTGGTGAGTCTACCGTAAGCCTGTATGCTGCCGTCGACATTATAAAAGACACTCACGGCTTCACTAGGGCGTAGAACGGTCAAACTGACAAATCAGTAGAAAGTTACATCCTTTGATACTTAGCTGTGCACACATGCTCGTCGCACCAGACGAGTATGCACTTGGCTGCTACTGCATACAAATAGTTGCAGTTCCACTACTATATGTGTGCTGTCTCTTCTGTCAAGTCAAGCCTCAGCAGATGAATGCCTGCATGTGGCTCCCAGTGGAACTCTGAAAGAACGATAATCATCAATGCTATAGAATAGAGTTTATCGCGTAGTACTAGAAGAAATATCTGAACGATGTAAATCGAGGTTACTATCCCCTTAATCTTTTATTGGTCCGCCTGTCTCACTACCATTACTAAAAGACCTGTCCAGCCAGAATCGTAATATGCTGAGCTTATACAACGTGGATCCTATGCAAACCCAGCTAGCGAAGCCTTGAATGTTGTGTATTGAAATTGACATATAGAAAGGTCGAGTTTTAGACTAATCCTGCTCCCTTTCTCAGAGCCTGCAAGGTCAACGACTTGGCATTCGACATATAACCCACAGGTGCTGTGGAGGTCAGTTCATGTCTCCGTCCCGCGGCCATCACAAAGCAGGGCTTAGCAATGCACTTGATGTCCTCCAACGGATTCCCTACGAATGCGAAGCCTGGCTCAATCTTACCACATTCAGTATCTAAATTGCACTCTTTTGCCGCAACTGTTGTTGCTGCAGCGATGATCTCCCGCGGAGTATACCCTGCGTCTGCTAAGACGGTAAGCCCATCTGCGTAACGCTCAAAAGGACAAAATCCGATACCAGCATCCGTCCCAACTATGATCCTAACGCCCGATTCCCGCAGCAACGAAAGATTTGAGACAACGTCATGTCGACTGTCCCAAGGGCAGAAATAGTCCGACTCGACACATGCAGTGTTCATCTATAGCAAAGTCAGTCCTATCGCCGTGCGTCTAGTACAAGAGAGATTATGATTTACCATAGGGTAAACAGCAATGTCGTACTCCACTAGAATTTCGAGCGACCGCCCTGTCGAAAACAGCCTTGTCGTCTGATGATATCCATGCGCAATGCTCTATTGAATTGAAGCAAGCGTTGACAGCTCTCTCGATACCCTCTGTACCAGTCGCATGCGTTGTCACAGGCAGTCCGGCCTTTTTGGCTTCATCGGCAATAGCATCCATCTCAGCCTGGGAGAAACGAGCCGTCGACGGATGTGAACCTGCCGTCATGAACCCACCAGTCGCCATGACCTTTATCACGTCTGCCCCTTCAGCGACTCGCTTGCGGACCTCTGCGCGGACGCCTTCTACATCCTCGCAAACACCTCCCATGATGTGAGCATGGCCTCCCGCCACTGCCAAGGGAGCGTTGGCGCACTGTGGTCTTGGACCTAGTATTGTGCCATCCTTGATCATCTCGCGGATTGCGATTGCCGTCATTCCTCGGGCCCCCAAGTCGCGAGCCGTCGTCACTCCAGCATCAAGGAATTTCGCAGCGTTTCTCTGCATCAAAGGCAAAAGCTCCTCGTCAGGCAGATTGACATCGGTACCTCACTGATATTAGTCCCACTAGGATCCATTTGAAGATGTACCTTGGCCATTTACTTAGTCAAACTGCAAACCTGGATGTGACAGGTACATGCATGACAGTCGAAAAGACCAGGCATCAATGTGACATCGCCCAGGTTGGTGACTGGCAGATCTTGCCATTTTGCCTTGATGCTATCCCATGGACCGACATCTTCGATTCGGTTACCATTGATGACGACGGCCCCATCGTCTATCAGCTCTGCGAAGCTTTGACGGAGAAGACGAGAAAACCGTATGATTGAAGGCATGACTGCGCTGATCGGGCGCGATAAGCGATGTCAACAGTACCAGTCTTCCACAACTTCCTAACATAACTTTAACCTTCTTGTACACCCAATAATGACTCGACTTCTTGTCCTCGGCGCTTGGAATTTCCGACTCGGACTTGTGCAAATCTACGTCATGCGAACTAGTCAGCGCTCCTGCGGCACAATATGCCAAGGTCGGGGCGGATCTCATCCGTTAGCGTTGCACTTTTTTCAATTATCCGGCACGACACAAATTGCCGATCTCTATGATAGTGAAGAGCTAAGTCTCGGCCGGGTCTCCTCCGACATCGTTGCTTACTACGTGCGTCACGCCAGCTGGAACGGCACATGAACAGACTGGCTTTTACATTTGGGTGTTAAAGCTTTCCATCACTCGTCAGCGGAAATCTTGAGATCTATTCTGGGTGGTTTTAACAAATATCGGGATGGCACGTTGTACAAGCGGGCCGAGATCCGAGCCGTTATTAACTTGTTTGTCGGACGGCTAGGATAGATGGCTGCGGCCAATATCATAGCAGTCCTAACAAGGCTCATCAGATACTGGTATGGAGTCTATGGACATCACCACCCAGCTTGTTATGTACGGCATTGGAAGTCATGCGCAATCGAACCCCAACAGTTTCGGTCCTTGGAGATGTATTAGAGTTGTCCTTGGATCCTGGATAATATTCATGTCCGTCTTCTCTCTGTGTGTCTTAGGAGCCCCAAATGAAGTCCGTTGATTCACAAATGAGGCAAAACGCATGGCCCCTGCTCGAGTCCTCAGCAACCAAACGAGTTCGGAAAGAAGGCACCAAAATTGGCGATGGGACCAACTTTGCACTACTTTGATTGACCCTCTGACGTACTTCTTCTTCTTTATAGTTATCGTAAATCTTTTTCACAACGGAGACACCCCGTCTTTTTGGTAACGTGGTTTTTGTTTCCGTTGGATTCACTCCTTTGGAGACGTATGTTGTCCAATCCCAATCTGCCTGAGCAAGTGTCATGACTTGTGCCCTTACGCTATCAAACAGTCATGCTTATGGTTGTATCAATGATTCCTGCCTTCGTGGGTATGTTGGCTCTAGGCCTATTGCCTAACGATGGACTGCTTTGGACACGATAGGGTCTCTATCTTATGACTGGAACCGGGCGTCTACCGGGACTTTTGATCTGGACTCTTTTTCCATCCAGCTTCGCTGACAGAGCTAAGAAGTGGGTCACCGGGACCGTCACGTCCATCGCCTCCTGGATCGGAAACGCCATAGGGTCACACACAAATCAAGCTCCATGGGCACCCGCATACGTCCCAGCTATGATTGTTTGTGGCGTAATGTATGATTTGAGGTGTGTCTTGTTTATCGCTTGGGGGTTTTACTGCAAGTCGATCATGTCTGAGAATTCTGGTAACTACCTTACTTGAATTCGTTTAGATGTATTCGAGAATCAGCGCAGGGATGCTGTTGTTCCGGAAATGGAGCTATCACTGCAGGAGTCTTCTCGACAAGGTCAAATTCAAGACGAATCAGATGTCACTGACCGGGAGAATGTGTCTTCCAGATATAGCATGTAGCCTGACATGGCGCACTTGCTCAGACACAAGAACTCCCGTGAGAGCAATGTTGGCTGTCTTAGATTAGGATCTGACGACCGCAAGCCTTCTCCGAGGGCGCACAACATTTCCATGACGATTCCATTCTTAATGTCTCAAGAACCTCAATCTTCGTTTCTTACTCAAATGCCATCATTTGGCATGGGGCCTAAAACCTGTATTAGACGATATCATCTACGTTGTCTCGCTCTGCAATAGAAGACCAGCATCTGCGGTTGTGACGTTGGGCCTAGAACGTTTCTTAATCGTCGCGTTGAAGGAGGATCTTATCATTTCATTATCAGGAGTTCAAGACATCGGCCGTTTCAACCTTAAGAAAGGCAGATGGGGCCCAATGTGACGTGGAGCCGGCGCAGCTCATGTCATCGTGCCCACTACCCCCTCGCCAAGCCAACCGGCTTGCGCTCTTCCATAGAACATCAGACCATCTGCAGACTTGAATTGGAGCCGTTGCCACAAGTCTTTGTCTGGAAACTTTCACCTGATGTTTTCATTTCTCCATGACGCTGGCAAATCCTGGGCTCTTTACTCGATATCCCGTTTGCGCTTAATACCGCATATTTCAAACGATCCATCCTCAGGAAATTGTCACTGGGTCCGCTGGTGTTGTGCTCGCCGCACAGATGCTCGGAATGTGGGAGCGTGGTATCCCACTCAACATCTAGCGTACCAAAGTCGATTTCCGCCCGATGTTGAACTAAAAGCGGGCAACAGCGGAAGGAGGCAGGATCATCAAGGGTCTTTGCCGATGGTAATGTGACGTGGACACGCGGCTGTTGACGGCGGCAGAATTACATGAGTGCGCGTCTGTTCAGTGTGATTTCTCCGACTCGGGGGATTTTTAACATCCCTGTATCCGAACCCCATTTGCACCCTGTGGCTCTTCACTGTCGGATAGGACCTCACTGCCTTTCAGGGGTAATTGTGGACGCAAGTGCCCATTGACGTGGTTGAACAGTTTGCGCCAACAATGCAATCAACGGGCAGTCTTTTCGACAGAATGAATTGGTATCATATAGCTATTTAATGCGTGATTTTCTGAGCCAGGTCCCTACCAAGCCTCGCGGGGATGTTGCGGGCGTTGCTCAACAAATTGACTAGTCCTATCATCGATGGTGACCTGGATCTCGTTCGAAACCACAATGCCATTCGGCGGCTTGCTTCCAGGTATTGGCGAGACTGAGCTGGTCGACGTCTTGATGTCCTGCATTTTGACATCATTCATGATTCGTTCCTCGCTTTCGGTAAATGAAATGTTGGCGGTGATGGGGTTCGCACTTGATTGACCAGTGCGGCGATCGCGACTCCGTTGAGAGTTGCCGTATTGTCCATTCCCGCCACCAATGGTTTGGAATCCGCTCGGTGTCTTATAGGCCTTCTTGGATGAGCGCAGCATGCTGGGCCAGAGGGGCTTGAGCCAGGTCCGGATAAGAGGGAAGATCATTGGGAGGTTAGTCGTGACGACGGCCACGAATGTTTCTCGGGTTCCCCATGTTCCTGCAAGTTGGGCTCCATTGACGGGATCCTGCCCAAATATGTCAGTCGCTATTAGATAGAGGCGTATGTTAACAACTCACAACCAGGACAAAGATGCTCTTCAATGTCGCACAGACCAAGACGAAGATACCGGCGCCAAGGACGATTGTCGAAGCAATCTTCTTGATAAGTCTGAGGGTAGACTCCCAAAGTAGCGGGATTGGAATAAGAATAAGGTATATGTCAGTCGAAACGTTTGCCGCGAACGATGTCCAGATGATCGGCAAGGAAATGGCAGCCTGGCAAGAGTCTAGGGATACCGTTAGCATAAAATGCACCAGCAAAGCTGGGATATAGGCGACTTACTGCCGGGATCCGGGCTGATCTGCCAGTACTTGTCGAACGGTATGCATGCGAGAAAGACGGCAAGTATGGATGCCATAAAGGTTCCGATGACCAGTCCAAAGCCTATCCAGATGCGCAGCCGATAGCGGCGACCAAGACCTTCCTAAGCTATGGTTAACTAACCGTTCGCCAGGCTTGAATGTCATCAAACATGGGGGGATTGACGACTTACAGTAAGTCTCAGATAAAAGAACAGCATCGACAGCTTCAATAGCAGAAGCAGGGCGGAGTAGGTTGTCCATCCCGCGACCTGGATCTTGGACCCGATGACCCTGTATCACACGAGGTTAGCGCCTGCCATCATGTTCCAGTCAGACGAGACAAACCTAAGCGTAAACTCGGGATCACTGGTAGACAATGCCGTTCGTTCATCATCCGTCATGCCATTGTTGGCCAGACCATGCGCGATGTTGCCCACCTCGTACGCCAAGGTCGACTGGATGGTGTAGAAGATCTGGATAGATTGGGATCAGCGATAAGCTTTTCGCGTAGTGGGATCGTCGAGGACCACGTTGTTGACATACAGCGGCACCGAATGCAAGGTAGTCATCGGCTCGGAAATTTCGGAAGCCAACGGCCTTTGCTCGGGCGAACATTCGGAGAAACGTCACAACCATACCAACGCCGTAGAGCGTCCAAGCCTCGATCGTCATCCGGCGAGCTGCTTCGGCAGCAGCCTGTGCGGCGGCCAGCGCCGCCGGGTCGAGGGTAGCATCACTCGATGACATTTCGGCTTGAGGGTTGGTGTCAATGTCCGTCGAGCGAGCAAACGGGGTGGGGAAGTCGGCGAAGATTGCGGAAACAGTCAGGACGGACTGCACGAGGTCCTTGGGAAACCCATTGTACAAATATATAAGGCGGTTCACACCGGGTGAGGGCAGAAACAGGACAAAACATCTCAATGTTTGACTCAAGGCCCTTGATCCCGCACTACTGCACCGGATGTGCGAGAGGATCGATCATTGGAAACCGAGAAACAGGCTTCAACGCGGAACTTGGGAATGCAGAGTTACAGCAGCTGCGACGTTCCACGATAGAGGTAAACTTCTTCACTATGTGCAAGGCGACCTGTGGTATGGGCTCAGTTTTCGCCAGGGCCCTGATAGCCTTGGTTTCCTGCATGGTCCCATCTCCGAGCTACGACCCTGTGAACCAGAATTTGTGTCAGGGGTATTGGAACACTAGCAGAACAAACGCAAGTGACAGACGTGATGGATTATGCAGCTAAGCTAGAAGGGTCCTTGAAGCCCATGAACATGTTCGTCCCCATCGGACAATGGCCGATTCCGGTGAGCAGTGCGTGCTTTGCTACCTGAACGGTGAGTGCGTACAAGGACGTTGCACTGCTTCCTCTAGCTTCGTTCGGCGACGAGCCGATAAACCTCGGAACATCATCTCCATCTGATATCCTCGTTGTGACAACCATATGACCGGCCAAGCAACGAAAAATAACTTGAAGGGCCCAGCACTTGAGAAATGGATGTTACTCCACTTCTTCCAACATCTCTCTCTGGTAACAAGCTCTTCAGTGGGGATGTGATCACATATCTAACCTGCATATCACATTCAAGTCTGAGGCCTCACCTTAACTCCACTACGTTCACCATAGGGCACGCTGGACAAGCCAATTTCGAGGGTTGAAGGAGGAATATCTCCACCATGCCAAGCTGCTAGATCAGGATGATGAGAACTGAGCCCTGTTGACCCCTGACTCGCCTGGCGTACGACGCGCACAAATCCCCTGACCCCTGGTGGGGGTCCGAGCGGCAACGGCTGTGCTTCCCCGGCGTCGAGCATCTCCACTACAATACTTTTCTTTACGATAAGGTAATACGGATACTTCGGGGGATGTGCTGAGGGGGCGGAGACAAAAGGGGGTCTTCGCCAGTCGTGAGAGTGATCAGGGTCGGCAACTCGAGCGAACCGATGTTCGGCTCCCCTAAGACTCACCATTCAAATCCTCTCGGCGAAATGACCTGATAAAAGCACTATATCGGAGGTTTTGGTTGAAATAGTTCCACGGAACACAAGAGTTACACGGAAGACAAGAATGCGCAAGGGTTCGAGGCTATGTTTGACAGGTCTATGCGGCCCGAAAGGTAAAAAATGGTCCGGCACTTGGGCGGCGCAGACTGTAAAGCAGCGTCGTCTGGTCTGGTGTGTTTCCCTTCACTCCGCGTCTAGACCGGACGTCTAAAGCTTTTCTCATCGATCCCCTGCCTTACGAATCGTTAGCTTCCAACGTCGAGTCCAACATGAGACCACGAGACCATGCGCCCAAAACATTCCACAACTGAAGAAACCCTTTGTCCTTTGATACCGAGAAGCGCCGCGGCTGTGGCGTTCGTCATTCGCCTGGTGCCGCATTGCCGAGACTTTTAGCAGCCGTTGAGGCGTCGGAAGTCGGACTTTGAGAGGGAGGAAGAAGAGGAGGGGCAAGAAGTGGAGCACGCGGTCTTCATCTCTCCGGGTTGCGTAGCATTGCATAGTGGCACAATCGCCCTGGGTAGCATCCGGAAGTTTTGGTCATGGCCGAAGAACTTGGCATCAGCACTCTGCAAGCTTTTGGGTTTTGTGAACCACCCCAACTGCACAGGTCTCCCATGGTACGGGCCGCAGGATTTGCGAGGAGGCATCCGAGGCTTTTACAACACTGGGAGTTGATGGAACGATGTCCCGCTTCTCGAGGTAACGTCAGCGTTGGGGTCCGCCGCGGTGCTGGTGCTGATTGGAAGGGTTCTAAATGAATGCAACCGACTTACAAATTGATGCAAGGGAGGGACACGTGGACCAGGACTAGGACAATCGAGGCCTTTCAGGTTGCCAGTGTCTCGCAACTTTCAACAAGTCAAAACGACGAGCCTGACCAGCTGGTGTTTAACGCCGACGGATTATCGCTTCATCAGGATCGCGCATAAACTTGGGTTCTAAGCCCCAGGATCGACCGACTAAACCTGCAGATATCGACGTGGGTTCACAGGGCCTTTTGCCTCTTTTGCCCCGAAATCTGTGCTGACCGGGCGGCGCAGAAGCAAGGCCGCATGCATGCCAATGCAGGGTAGGGGAGCCACTTTGTACATGGGACCGAAATTAAGAATGCAAGCAGCGTTGCGACGGAGGAACTTGGCTTACCCGCGACTGCTACCACATCATGACATGGATGGCGAAATAAATACTAATCGCGGCGCTGTGTCTTCACAGGTTCTTGCTTGCGCGGTACGCTCAACCACCGGAAGGGCCTGTCACTGTCAGTCGCTACAGATACCACCACACTCTCTTTGTCTCAAATCCTGCGATCGGGTTACACTTGAGCCGACACCTCGGGACCAGTTGCATCCTTGGTGAACAAGATTTTTTTATCTTGGACCAATATCCGTCGTTTCTGACCTCTCTCTCCCCCTGCCGTCATTATGTATCGATTCAAGATGGAGGTGCTCACAGCCGTGGCTGCATGGGCGATCGCCTCATCCTGCGCGAATATCCCCGTCGCCCGTCAGTTTCTCGGAGGCATCTGCGCGAGAGACACCGTGGAGCTGGGTAACAAGCTCTCGGACACCGCCAAGATCTATGAGCCGGGCTCGGCCGACTTCACCAACGCGACCATCCGGTGGTCTAACCTCAACGCGCCGACCGTTAGCTTGGTCGTCGTCCCCGGAACGGAGAACGATGTTGCTGAGACAGTATGTTCCGGTCTTCCACATTGCTTGATGCAATCGACGAACTTTGAGCGAATGGCTAATGATTCCATCTAGATCAAATTTGCCAATGAGAAGAGCTTGCCCTTCCTTGCATACAACGGCGTGCATGGTGCTATCACCACTCTCGGCAAGATGCAGAATGGTATCGAGATTTATCTCAACCAGCTGAGCGGCGTTGAGGTCTCTGAGGATGGCCAGTCCGCAAAGATTGCCGGTGGAACCCGCTCCAAGCTTGTCACTGACACTCTCTGGGAGGCCGGAAAGCAGACTGGTAAGTAAAATACCGAAGATTAACTCTATCTCTATCTTACTGACATGCTTCTCAGTCACTGGTACTTGCGAGTGTGTCAGTACGCTCGGACCTGCCCTTGGAGGTGGTCATGGCTGGCTGCAGGGTCACCACGGTCTTGTTGCCGATCAGTTCCTCTCCATGAACATCGTTCTGGCTAACGGAACCCTGGTCACCATCGATGAGAGCTCTGACCTCTGGTGGGCTGTCAAGGGTGCCGGCCACAACTTTGGCATCGTCACCTCAGTCAACGTTAAGGTCTATGACATTGAACACAGCAACTGGGCCGTTGAGACTCTCATCTTCAGTGGAGACAAGGTTGAGCAGGTCTACCAGGCTGCCAACGACCACCTCTTGAAGAACGGAACCCAGTCTGCTGATGTCGTCAACTGGTCCTACTGGCTGAACAACCCCGACGCCGATGCTGAGAACGTGAGTTACATCCATTTCACGTACATGGATAACACAGACTGACTGATATGATAGCCCATCATCTTGTTCTGGATTATCCAGGAGGGTGTCGATGTTGTCGACTCCACCTACACCCAGCCCTTCCTCGATATCGGCCCCATCTCTGCCACGCCCACCGCCGGAACCTACCTCGACCTCGCTACCTGGACCGGAATCGACCTTGATGCCATCCCTTGCCAGAAGGCCGGCCTCAACAACCCCCGTTTCCCCATCTACGTTGAGTCCTACAACGTCACCGCTCAGCGCCAGGCCTACGACCTGTTCGCGGCTAACGTCAAGAGCGACTCTCCCTTCTACAACTCCCTCTTCATGTTCGAGGGGTACTCTAACGAGGGTGTCAAGGCCGTCGACAGCGACTCAACTGCCTTTGCCTTTCGTGAGGACAACCTTCTCTTCGCCCCTCTCATCACCTACACCCCTAACGGCACTGCCCTGGACCAGCAGGCTGCTGACCTTGGCAACCAGCTGCGTCAGATCATCCACGAGGGTAGCGGCCGCGAGCAGATTCACGTCTACCTCAACTATGCTTTCGGTGATGAGACGACCTCTGAATGGTACGGTGCCGACCAGTGGCGCCAGGATCGTCTCAAGTCTCTCAAGTCCAAGTATGACCCTGAGGGCAAGTTTAGCTTCTATGGCCCTATTGCCTAAGTGCAATAGGCCTTGAAGTTAGTCGTAAGGGAAGATAGGAAAAGAAAGATAGCGTTGTAGAATGATGCACATTGAATATGAATAGACAGCATGTGTTCATGACAATCCGTTTTCCCAATGTAATGCGTGTCTTCACATGACTGCACCTCTGAGATAATGGCTAGGGGTACGAGGTGGCTTCGCGCCCACGGCTCTTTTGAGTCACTATTATTTTCAATCTGAAGACTTTTAAAGGCATTGAATTACTAGCTGGGCTAGTCCCTAAGTCTGGGCGTTATTTGTGCTTGTGGCCCCGGCAGGTTCCAGGATCCGGATCCTTCGGGCAGAACGCCAGTCAGCATGTCGGCGCCGGCGTCTGACAAATGTGCCCGCTTGTTAATTGACTCGGCGCCGAACCCTATGATCTTTGTAACGTCGGTCTCTCCTCGATCCGAAAAAAAGAAGAAAAAAAAAAGAAGAAAAGCAGATATAAAAGCTAGGTTAGATATGGTGGTGCCTATTGACCTGAATCGTCTCTGAGCATTTTCTAACCATTATTTACCATACCGGAAGTTTATTTTTTCTGAATAAATCAAAGCCAAGTTCTACTCACAAAGTCTCATCTCACAATGGCTGATCATCCCCCCCGCCGACGCATCGTCCTGTCCAACCTGCCACTCGAGCCTAGTGGATCAGCCACCCAGGCCGAACCTGCAATTGAAGTTTTGACAGAGCAGTTGCAGACTGAGGAGATGTTTGGAGGCCTACTTCGCAGAACACCTGTGGGAACTGTCTCTGCTGTTCCCACTAATTTTGATGGATCGTAAGCTAGACGAAGCTTAAAGGAGCTGTATTGAGCTATGCTGATTTGGAGAAGGGGGCTTCCCAAGATTGAAGCTGCTCCTGGAAGTGGAGTGGTCTTTCCCGGTGGTCTTAACGTTTACTTCTTTGATCTCGCGCCTGGAGGCACAACTCCCATGGTGAGTTACTAGGGGTTAGGCTGAGAGACCATGGGTCCATGACCTAACGAATCGGTAGCATCGCACTCCCTCGGTTGACTACGTCGTTGTTAACGAAGGAACACCAACTCTTATTACTCCAAAGACGGCGTTCAGCGTGGAGAATGGCAGGGGGACCTGGGAAGAAGTTGTTGAGACTACCCTCCGCCCTGGAGATGTTGCCGTTCAGCGAGGAGCGATGCATGTGTAAGCTGGCCAGCCCCTTTTCGCAGACCATTGTGCAGCGAACGCTGAGATAGGCTCTAACAAATGCATCGTCTAGTTGGGCCAATCGTTCGGACACCTGGGTTCGTATGGTTGGTGTTGTTGTCGACGCAAAACCATCTCAGATTGAGGTTGGCGGAAATGTGATGCAGTTGGGTGAGAGATGGCTTCAATGAGTCTTGAGTACCTAAGTGTGCAAGGGTGTAGTGTGATCAACGTTGATTGAACCCGAAGAATGACCTCCGTTTTAACCAGCCGTATAGGTGGCACAGGGACTGGTAGTAATAGCCTGTAGTGCTGGTTTTAAAGTCTTTGTCTATAAACGTACTGTCTGTAGAAGTCATGGTCATTATTGCACGTAGTGAATAATTCCCTGTGGGTGTCTTATGCACTAAGATGTTTGCTGCAATAAAAGCTGAAGTAACGTTGTTACGCCGAGGGTTGCATTGGTTTATCATGTCTACCGCAGGTATATTGAGAGTGAGCAATCAGTTAATTTAAACATTTATGAAGTGCTATGTTATGACCTAAGTGCTATTACTAACGAGTAGCCATTGGTGCCACGGAATCTCGACCTGTACTATTTCACATGAACTATCCTGCGTTGAGAACGTAGGAACCTGTTAGTGACAGCTTTCCGTATCTTTTCAAATACTCAGATCTCTATACCATAAAATGAGATCTTTATTTCAGTATCAATCGTAACCTATAATCTAATGGAATGATATACTATACAAATGCAAATGACAGTTGTAAAAATAGACGGGTATAGAAACAAATGGAAAGTTTCTGGCAAAATTGCGCATCTTAGAACCTGGGAAATACCCAGCCCAGCATGGCCTGTTCTTTGATTGTCTCCAGAAGCTATTTATTCTTCCCCTTTGTTCTTTGAGTTTTTAATTCTATTTTAATGCTTTTAGGAACGCGCGGACCCCAGGGGCTGCCTCTCAGCCCGTCATTATTGGCTGAGCTCGTTTGCATCCTACCGACGTCCTTTCAACGGGCTCTTCACGCAACGCATGCCCGGCTAAATGCATTTGTTTGCAACTCCGAAACAGGATTACGTGATTGCTAGACAGTGTGATGTTGTACGTATAAATAGAAGACGTGTGGTGTCTCCTTGGGACTCACTCTCCTGCGGAGCACCACCAACAACCATTATCCAGGCCATTTACTGCGCCATACGAAAGGTTCTGGCTGGTGACAAGGAACTCACCATTAGCAGATATCTTCCTTCTAAGGGCTCTAGCAAGAATCATACCGTTTTGACGACCACAAGTAGCGGCACGCTGCGTTTGCTACTCTGCATGGACTTTTGAACAACCCCTCATCTCAGCCCGCAACGAAATCCAACATGGCTAGATGGAGCAAAGCCCCCGACGATGCGTTAGTACCCTGATCTTCAACATGAAATCAGAGACTTTGTGTGCTCATAACGGACATACCCAAGTGATTGCTGACTGACTGTATCACTAGTAAGGCTGCCTTCGACATAGGAAGCACCAGTACGCGAGCTTGCGTTGAGTGTCCAGCGAGAGGATGTTGCATCGAGGTCGAAAACAAGGACATATCCAAGGCATCATCCCATAAACACGACCCGGGAGACTACGCGTCGACAGGATACCCGTTTGATGACGATAACGAGGAAGTCTACTTGGGCGAAAAGACTGACCCCGACCGATTGGCGATATCTCTCAAGTATGCCTTCTACATCTTGGCGGATGCCTCCGATGAGCTTGTGGGCCAATATGCTCTTGTCAAACCACTGCTAAAGCGCATGAATGAGGAGGGCTTTCGCAAGAAACTCCGCCGAGGTCTGATTGCCCTATTCTCAAAGATCTGGAAGCAGATTGAGAAGCATTGTAAAGTAGAGCGGCTCAGGATCACTACCATTGTTCTTTCCATTCCGGCACAATGGACGGATAGCAGCTGCAAGTTCACCGAAGTCTACGAGGATATCATGCGCGAAGTTATTGGGGCGGGCTCCAGTGACATGGAGTTCTGTTTCGTTACCGAGACAGAGGCGTTGGCCCATTACCTGCTTAAGGATCACATCGAAGAGCTTCGCCGCCATGGACACCGCGGTGAACATAGCGCCTTTTTGTTCCTTGACTTTGGCGGTCACAATATGGTGAGCTGCATGCTTTATCCCGCATGCAACACAGCTGTTCAAAATGAGACTGACTTCGAGTTTGAAGAACGGTTGCATATTCAATGTTGTCTATGGTGATGACCATGACGCAAGCTTCTACAGGGTTGGAGAGGCTTTTGGTGAGCTCCCCGCACCCAATAAAGCGAGTTATACCAGGAATTAACCACATAGACTTAGGCGCGGGAGGTGGAAGCGAGCAATGGTCTTACGACGTCAGCGAGTTGTGCATCGAGCGGACTGAACGCCGAACGGGTCGGCGCATGACAGCCGAGAAGAAGCAAGAGCTTATCGACAAGTTCGACAGGTTCAAGGATAGGCTAGGCCCCGGTTGTGACGACGAAAAGCCTTTCGAATTCGAGGGAACGATCGTTTCGCCCGAGGAGATAAGACGCCTTTTCGAGAAGGCGCACGAAAAGATCCTCGAGCTGGCAAAACGTCACATCGCAGCTCTCTCCAAGTTCAAGATAACCGACAACACCGTGGTCGTTGCTGGTGGAACAGCAAAGCATGCCGGCATCAAGCAGCGTCTCCGAGACATGTGTCTGAAGAAAGGTGTGGCAGAGCCGGTATTTGTCAACGTTGACCTCTGCGTGCGTTACGAGTAAGTATCTCATGAGCTCCTAAACTCCATGGACTTGTTCAGCGCTGATGTGGTTCAAAGCTCAGTCAAAATCGCTAAAGGGGCTGCCTATTCGGCCTCGACAAAGATCAGCATTGACGACTTCTTGCGACAGGGCGCTGCGTTTGGCATACAGCGGAAGGCTGTAGGGACCGGACCAGGCTCTGGCAAGAAAAATTACTGGGAAGACACTGCAGAGGTGCTCTTCAGCAAGGTATGCAGAACTATCTTTACCCTCTATTCTGTATTGTCTAACCCTCTTCAAGGACAAGAAAGACGCTCTCGACCTTAACTTTGCGACTGGCTGTGACGAGTTCAAGATCATCTGCGACCCCTTCTTTGGGCGCACTGGCTCATCTCGACTGTTTTATGACAGATGCTACGATGTTATGTACATTGGCAAGCTGAAGAGAGGTGGCTCTAGGATTACGATGTTCTTGGAGAAGCGAGATGGCAAAGATTTCGCTGTACTCAAATCTGAGTGGGCGCACGTCAGAACTAAGGGTATGAAGGAGTGGGTTAGCCCAGGCTTTACATCCCGCCCACTACCGCTGAGCTTTGACTTTGGGCCCAGCTGCTTCTTTCTGGATGATGAGGAGCTCGACTTCGAACGACTCTTGGCGGGAGGCACCAAGATCGGCATAGCCGCCAGAACGCGTGCCAGCTTGACGCGGCAAGATGGCAGCATAAAGACTTCACCTCGTTCAACCCCAAATGTGGAGGGTTCTCACCATATGGCACCTATCGACGATGAAGTCTTGAGTTCAGCAGAAATACGTAACGTGGACGATGATTCTGCGGCACCCAACCTGTCGCAACAAAATGCTCGACCGGAGTACTCAGCTGCCTCTTTCGAGTTACATCCTGCCCGGCAGTCTCCCACTGATTTGGCGACCCCGCAGCCAGCACCAGTGGCTGAAATGGTGATTGATATTCAGAACGAGAATCCGTATCAACAGGAAGTGACGACCTTACAATCGGCACCGGTGGCTCAAATGATGATCGATGCCCAGGGCAACACTCCCTGTGTCAGCAGGAGCACAGAGCATCAAGCCCAGTTGTCACAGCCTTCCCTGAGCCCACCGGCGAAGCGACCCTCTTCGGAGCCAGGCGTGACCCTCCGTTCTGGTCGACAGTTTACGAGTGCAAGAGATGCTAAGAGGCAGAGAAGGTATGAACAACACAAGCAGAGAGGCGTCTCTGACACGGAATCCTCTGATGCAGAATCCTCCGGGGCAGAATCTTCCGACTATTACTCTGCAACTTCGGACGAGGAGTAAAATGTTTGAGCTCAATGATGTGTAGAGAGGATAGGATGTAAAGTGGAATCATTTGGTCATCTATAGAATTAGGGCCGTCCATAGAACGTGAAGCAGACTGAATGCATCTTGTACTTCATCAGGTAGTGGTATTTGATCTCCGCTGTGGATGAAACCTATGCAAGGCAGTATGACGTGAAAATGTTTGCTCCAACTGTCAGTGGCAGTTGGGTCTTGACCTACTATAGTCTGAACCAACCTACACGCATGATTAGCAGCATGTTTGCTGAAACCACAGCCTGCGGTGTCGCTATCGCCTGAGTACAAGAAGATTTTGGCCCTTGATGATTGGAAGTATCAAAGAAAATCACATGACATATATCCCCAAATTAAGCGTGAGAAAAAAGGACGTCTCAGCGTAAGGGAAAGCTGAAGGAGATGGCTGGGATGGCTGAGCTGGGCTGAACGGGGTGGCTGCGCCAGCTGACCTGCCTAAGCTTTGATGTTAAGGACAAACTTCGCGACTGCTCGGGAATGAGTGAAATATTCGCAGCGATTCACGGCGACTTCATGTCGCATGCCATAGTATCAATTACTGTACATTGAGAGATTGTGTTTCCATGTCATTAAGTGGATACGCATTTGCTCTTATACGTCCTCTATCTGAAGTTTTCCTGGTATGCATCTTCCTCGAGCTCCTCGAAGAGGTCCTGGTTGTGCTTTCTTGCCCATTCCAGTCTAACGTATCTGCCTTTTCGATCCCTCACAACTGTTTCCATTTCCAACACGACGCAGTCAGATATGATAATAAACCAAAACGCTAGACTGACGTACCTTGTTGAGCGTATCTGCGAACCATGTCTTCCTCGTCATTGAAGGGAACTTGGCACTCTCTCAGATGTTCGACAGCCCGCGATTGACCCAAGGGGTGCCGGACAAAGACCGGGCTTGGGCAGTTGCCGGGGCATCGGATGATGTAGAGAGCTGTCCTTTTATTCAACGTGTAAGAGAAAACCCACCCCCTCTTGTCTTTCATAACATTCTCCCTTTTGATATGTGGCTGCGACGTCAGGTGTAGGGGTTTGGACCATTTCAGCTCTATATCCGGCACAAGTAGCCGAACGTTGGTGTCCTTGCAGCCTGTGGTATCGAAATGCGATATTCTGTGAGTTGCTAAAGAAGGTTCCACTGGCTCTGGGGTTGATAAGAGCGTCGGTACGCGTTTGGAGTATGTTCGGATTATTATTCTCTTTCTCGGTTGGGATTCCGGTGGGTTCGACTCCGTCTCTGTTTCCGTTTCCTGTTAATGATGTCAGTTATCACTGCAAGAAGTAGCAAGAGTCGAACAGAGCCGTCCATACCACTTCTGACGCTTGTCTTATGAGTAGTGTATCTGGTGTACCCTCCATGATATCCATTTCATCATGTTTTGCAGGAGGAGAATCTTCCAGCGTGCCTATGTCGAGTGCTTGAGGCGGTAGATCGTCAGCCAAATTTGATTTCGGAATATAAGAGACAACCATATCCCCAATAGGAGCCATGAAAGTACTGCCATCTGAGATTTCGTATTGCGTCAGAGGCCCGAGTATGTTGCATGTTGGGCTTCCCTTTTGGTAAGCTTGGTCCAAAAGTTTGGACTGTGCAGCCTCTAGCTCAACGCAAGCTTCCTTGAAGGTATCAATTAGATTGCGGATGTTGCTTTTGAATTTTTCGTGCGCATCGTTGAAGCTGTTGACGTTATGCGTAAGCTGGTCTTTGATCCTTTCGAGGATACGTCTGTCTACCTCTGTGCATGGAGTAAGTGCTTCGTTGGGACCGACGGGATGCATCGCGACGAGGTTATTGAAAATGAAAGTGATTTGGACGAAAGATTTGCGGCCCGACACGTGCGGGAAAGCTGAAGGCTAGGTACACGTGTGGGAGGGCTTGACGGTGGGCGATGCCACCTTCTTTTGATGGTTTCAAGGGAGTGGCGGCTTTGACTTGGGTAGGTGAACCGATGCATATCGCCTTAAACGGGAAGAAGGTCCTGTTCTGACCGCCAGTTTGCTGGCTAGGGTCATCGATCCTGGCGATTGACTGGTTAGGCTGGTTGCTGCAGGTGACGAGTGTGATCTGTCGCCTCGGATCAAGCAGAAGCTCACAGCCTCATTGGTAGGTCCTGGACAAAGCGCCTTTCGGGAGCCATAGACAGGGGTTCATGTGGAAGACATGATGATGAATTATGGTATATGTTCCTGGTCTCCAAGCCTACGCCTCCATGATCCTTGTCTTGCAGCGCCTTGGTCACACGTCTTGTTGGTGCTGGGTCTGTTGGCGGTGTTTTCTCCCCTGCAGACGAATCAGCGCTTCTGCCATCCAATCATTTCACAGAAAAGTTTTACACTGTGCTCAAAGGTGATGCGATGTACTCGAGACTCCGGACATGGTCTTCATCTAGATTTGCCTCAAGCTGGTTTTAGTTACTCTTCACTTGGACAGTGGAGGCACCACATCACAGGAACCCGTCTCCAGACCCTCCCCATCTACATTCCTGCTGCCTTAAATGTTGCCCACTGCCACTCGCAATTTTTCCGTGTGTAATACGCTCTGATCATGCTTCATTAAACGATATCATCCTTTCCGGCTTCAACTATTTCATCCCCAAGCTCATCTAACAAGAGCACACGATATCATTTTGTGTGCAAACCTGCCAGTTAACGAAGGTCTTCAGCAACATGAACGAACTTCCTGAGCTGGACGACGCGTAAGTCAAGTCCTGAGACTGTATTTGATTCCTAGTGTTTCCACTAACACTGCCTATGTGAAGCGTTCTCGGCCTGGACTTGGGTAGCACAAGCACGCGAGCTACCGTGCGATGCCCGAAGAGAAACCTCGAATTTGACGTGCGAAACAAAAGATCAAGAATCAAGTGGTGTTACAAATATACAAAAGGCGAATTTTCTTCCTCTGGATACCCCTTTGAACCGGGCAAAGCGGTGTATTTGGGCGAAAAAGGTGATCCCGACCGTCACGAGATCTCCCTGAAATACGCCTTTTACATTCTGGTAGACGAGGCAGATCACGGAAAAGACAGGCTTTTCGAGCAGTACGCGGTGGCCAACCCCCTGAGGCAGTGCAGGGATGATGTCGGCTTTCGTCAAAGACTTCGGAGAGGCCTTGTCGAACTATTCTCAGCTGTTCGAGATATGGCTCGGGAACAATGCAGGTCCCAAGGTCTGAGGATTACCTCGATCGGCCTGTCCGTTCCTTCACAGTGGACTATCGAGTTTGAGGACGTCTATCGAGATATTATTGCCGAGGTCTTTGACGAGTTTACCAGACCCAATGAGCAAATATGGTTTCACACGGAAACCGAAGCCCTTGCCCACTACCTCCTTCGAAATCACCTCAGACAACTTTTAGGTGAACAGACGTTTCTTGAACTGGAACAAAATAGATCGGCTCACAAGCCGCTCCTGTTCCTTGATTTTGGGGGGCACAATATGGTGAGTGCCTTCCTCCCCGGAATATCTGTAACATATAAGTTGAGACTAACTATAAGCGTGTAGAATGGATGTATGTTCAATGTTGTATGCGCTGGAGAAGACACTGCCAGCTTCTACAGCATGACCGAACCATTCGGTGAGAAAGTCGCCTCATATAGTGCTAATGACACGGTGGGGATTGCCCAGTGACTAATGCAAGCCAGGTGCTGGAGGTGGAAGCGAGCATTGGGCATACTACATGTGTGAGTTGTTTGTGCGCAATTTGCGCCGCATTCATGGGCAACGCCTAAAGCGGTCCGCGATCGCAAAATATCTTGACTGTTTCCATTCGAACAAAGATGACTTGGGCCCTCTTGAACCAGACGAGACCCAAGATCTTCCCGGAGACCTTCGTTCCATTCAGCTTCTGCCTGAAGATATCAATAGGTCCTTCGAAATGGGAACCAAAAGGGTGTTCGAAGAAGCCGAGATACAGATCAAGAGCCTTGCACTGATCAAAAACGCATCGCCCCAAGTCATTGTGTCAGGCGGGACTTCTATGCACAGAGCTGTGGTAAAGGAGCTCAACGGAATTTGCGCGAGAAATGGCGTCCAACAGCCCACATACGTCTGGGACTCAGAAGGACCGATGTCCAATTACGTGTGAGGGAACCAGAACCCAAATGCCGAAGCTTTCGCGCTGACAGCCCCCAGCTCCGGTAATATCGCAAAGGGAGTTGCATACGCAACTTGCAATCTTTCAACCATTCATGAATTCATTCAACAAGGCGCAGGATTCGGTTTACAAAGGAAGCAAGTTCCAACTCGGGGGGAGCCAGAGTCGGCTGAGGGGTGGGAAGATGACGCCCCGCCTATCTTCAGCCTCGTAAGAATTTGCGCCTAGGGAATTGCGATTTAGTTGATATCGACTGACCATTGCCCAAGACCAGCCCAGAACCTCTCGAAATCCGTGCTACCGGCAACGACAAGTTCCGAATCATCTGTGATCCCCATTTCGACATGAAAGGAGTGGAAAAGCAGGAAAGAATGCAATTCGACCGATGCTACGACATCAAGGATTTGGGAAAGCTAATGAATGGCATATGGTGGTTCGAGATGTTCCTCACAACGAACCGCAAACAACCAGCTATCGCCCTCAAAATAAGACGAGAGAAGTATTCCGGCCAGAGATACCCGGGCGGGGGTCAATTCCGAAAGGGGCCCAAGGATCTGAACGCACCTGGGGGAGACAAGAAGAAGGAAATCATTCTCCCACTATACTTTGATGGTGGCAAGAATTGTTTCCTTTTGGAAGAGACCTTCGACGTTTCCTCTTTAAATTTGGGTTCTAATCTTAAGCCCGCAAGAAATCCAAGAAAAGACTTGCAACGGCTGGCTGGCGACAAAGATTTCATGGGAACGCGGCGTTCGGCGAGACAGGCTGAGAAAGTCGAACATGCAGCCACATCACAATCGAGCAGTGCAAGCGACCAGATCACTTCGACGAAAATCAACGATATTCCAAACCCTACCTTTGCGGACTTATCAGTTACGGATGCAGGTTGGTCCCTGCCAACTTCTAGCTCGCGATTTGCTCCACTGGAGGGGCCAGTGGCCCCAGAAGCTGTGATGGCACCCGCAGCTGCACCAACATCCATCCCAACGCCACCATTAGCCCAAGGCGACTTCACTTGCAAGCAACTTCATGTCCAGGACACTATACCCTATAGACACGGAACACCCAAACATTGTCGAGCGGTATCAAATGACGCATCTGAATCGTCCAGGAGGGTCTACAATCCGACGTCCAAAGATGTTCAGTCGAAAAGGTTCAAGCCGACCATTGAGCCAGCTCGTCGAAAGGAGATTATTGTCGATGATTCCAGCAGCATGGAATCTGACACAGAGGATGATTGCAGCCCTTGACATTTTGCATGTGGTTATTGTGTATCCGTAGTTTTGCCCCTCAATAAGGTTGGGCACTTCGAACTCAATTTGATACACTCTGATGCGAAGCTACATATTTAAGGCTTGATAAATTGCCCTTGTTCGTGAAGCAGGCGACAAAGAATCCTAACGCCCTCAGCCACGCTATCAGCTTGGGGGATTGGGAGTCTCTCAAGTTCCGAAACCTAAGGTAGGTACCTTGTCGCTGAAATGAAGCTAGACATACATACGAACATGGCTCTCATCTCCGGGGTCGCATCCAAAAACATCTGGGGGGTTAAAAAATGATATAATAAAAAAAAGGAAAAAAAAAGGACTTGTAGTTAGTACGTTGAAGATGCTGTACAGTGCAGAAATTGGCATTTGACACGGGGTAGCAAGGCAGCCTTCACAAGATGGTTCGCCTACGCGCCGCCTTGCCAACGGAGTTCATAACCAATTTGGTTGCGGCCAAAAATGCGACCCGTCCAACAGCTCAGCTCAGCTCATCCAACCCCGGCAAGATGTCGTTATGTCCCTCTCATCATTGGCCATCAGCCGTCGCGAATGCACGGTACGTTTGAGACCAGGGAGATGTACACAGCCAACAGCTATTATTGCATGGTCCATGACTCGAGCTGGCAGTGCTCCAGGGATCACAAGTTGACACCATCATCAAACCGTTCCCACTGCGGTCTTTGGCGTGACGTGAACAAGTAGATATACTTTGGTAGGTCGATAGACTTGAGATCCGAAGTTAATATCTGTACCGTGATGATCTCCATGAATGTATCGATGACTTCGGCCTGAACAACCTTCCTTGGAATCATCACCCTCGATGTTCTCGTGATCCTTCAAGCGAGAGTTGATGGGACAAATACACCTCATCATTTGGACATGATTTACCAGACCGGACCACATCCGCGAATGCAACTATGCCTACCTGGAAGGCCGCCCCTGGAAAATTCCAGCCGTAAAGCATTGAGTTATCGTCTTGCAAGATCATGTATCTGTGTGCAGCTATCTTGTGCCCATGCTTAGTGTGCTCAGCTTGATCTCCTCCCTCCTCCCGCTTCTGGAGGTAGGCGCCAGAGGACTCTGCTCGCGCCTTTTCACAATGGTACAAGACACGACAGACGCTATGAAATGTAATCAGTTTTGTGACTCATTTCTGCAAAGTGACTGTTTTAAAAGTGGCAAATTAGAAAGTCGAAAGATTCAGTAGGGCCATAGTCCGACTCGTGAAGGGTGCGGTGACTGCTTGGGCGGGGAAAATCAATTCGCATGTTGAAGGGCTCCTCAGTGTAATTCTGCTGGTGATTATTTTCTGTGACGATGATGTGGGGCGCGCTCGAGGTGCGATACAATGGCTGCTTCCCATGCTGTGGGGTGATTGAGCGCGGCAGATAGGTCGTGGAAGACCTCTGCACCTTGTATTCTAATAAGAAACGAATGACATCTGGATCTCAACGCCATGAAAAGACTCTGGTGGCTTCTGATGTTCACCCTGAAGGATTGGGTAGTCACAAAGATGCCACCTCCGGCAGCTGACTGTCCTGTTGACGAGAGCTTTCTTACTCGCCAACGAGGTAGTTTCGTTCAACTGAAAAAATACTTGCAAAGGAAGAAAGTGTAGCTCTGGGAGCCACTAAAGTTTGATGCATTTCTCTGGAAGTCGGGGTCTTTCTCCACCTTGTACCAAGTGAAAGCTTGGCATTTGCATATCAGCGAATCTCATCGATATTTATCGAGGCGCGCATCCGATTTCCTTTATAAAGTCTTAAACAGCCAGGCTGCATAATGGGCGTAGATCAGGGCCGACGGCTGACCACCAGCCTCCATGATCAGGGCTAGACTCATTCCACGTGTGACACCTAATAGGTCACGCTCTGATATCACTGGGAACATCGATGGACTTAATTTCGATTATATGTATGAAATCCTTTCGACCCTGCGGACAAAATGAGAAGTTTCGCATCCTTGGCTGCGGCAGATTATTGATCAAAGCCTGAGCCAGGGCGGGCATGGTTTAAGTGAACTGGAGATGTAATAATGACCTCCCATGAGGATCCTCTGGCGTATACATAAATGAAGTGACGATTTGGAAAGCAGTTTTGAAGCGAAATATCACGATATTGCACTCGACTGGTGTTGTAAAGCTGTTTCCTACGGTACTTGGTTGGCTGAGAGGGCTTTCGGAGTTGGCCCGCGAGAACATCTGGCCACCGAGGCCGACCGAGAGGAGCCTCGGTGTGGAGTCAGCAGACCGAAGGCTTCGGTCTAAGACGGTGTTGTGGTCTGAGACGGTCTAGACCTACCAAAGCGCCCGGCTACTGCCGCGTTATCAAGCTATCTGCGGCATGACGTCAATGTTCCCTGTCAACCTACCAAATTCAAGGCATCAGAAAGGCTGGATTGCGCGCTGTTTCGGCGCCAGTCCCAACAGATTGGAGGTTGCTGGTTGGCACGGCACGGAATCCTGTTGGCGTCGCGCCATTTCCATGTTCCAGGAGCTTTCTGCGGTTTCTGTGTCGCAGATACGCATGTGCTTCTCACCTGAGCCGCCATCGCGCGAGCGCCGGAATGCCAGCCCGGGGCGATTTGATTTGCTCGTTCTTTGCTTGTCACCACGTCAACCTGCAGTGTGGAAGAACATGGGGAAACAGCCACGACGCGACGCCTCGTAAGATTTCGTAGCTCACTAGGAGGAAAGGACGTGCGTTTTGTTTCTAGCGGTCGTCAATGCCCTTTCCCTGCAGCGGTGAAGGAAGCTTTATGTAGAGGAAAGCGCCTCCTTCTCGCAAGCGCCATGTTCCAACCTGCTCTCCCCTCCTTCAACCCCTCTGGACCTCCTATGTGATCGACACGGTTTACCCCTCACCACCTCGCCGACCCCTCACCAGCTCTCAACACCGTCGCCCACGACGCCGAACATCGCCAAGATGGGAGAACAAGAACCGACCCCCGAGAACCACACGATGATGCAGGGCTTTGAGTGGTATGTCCCTGCTGATCAGAAGCACTGGGTGCGACTGGAGAAGCACGTACCGCAGCTCAAAGCCTGGGGCGTCGACAACATTTGGATCCCGCCAGCGTAAGCCTCCGATTGAGTGCGCGATTGAGCGATCATCAGCTTACGTTAAACACAGGTGCAAGGGCTCATCGAAGACCGGAAATGGTTACGATATCTACGATCTGTATGTCGCGCTCAATTGGAGCAATTGGGCTACAACGCTGACCAGAAAAGGTACGACCTGGGCGAGTTCGACCAGAAGGGATCCGTCGCAACGAAATGGGGAACCAAGGAGGAGCTCCTGAAGCTCGCGCACACAGCCAAGGACAATGGTGTCGGTATCTACTGGGATGCTGTCCTGAACCACAAGTTCGCAGCCGATCGCAAGGAGAAGTGCCTCGCCCAGGAGGTGGACCAGGAAGACCGCACCAAGTTCGTCAGTGACAAGTATGAGATCGACGCCTGGGTTGGCTACGACTTCCCCGGTCGCAAGGGCAAGTACAGTGACATGAAGTATCACTGGTACCACTTCAGCGGTGTCGACTACAACGCGAGGAACGAGAAGACGGCCATCTACAAGATTATGGGTGACAAGGGTGACCAGCAGTGGGCCGAGTCCGTCGACGATGAGAAGGGCAACTAGTAAGGGCAAACGTCGCTGCCATCAATTACCCCCGAAGCTGACTGAATATTTCTAGCGATTTCCTCATGGGTTCAGATCTCGACTACGACCACCCCGAGGTCGTCAAAGACGTCCTCAACTGGGGCAAATGGTTGGCAAAGGAGGTGCCTCTCAAAGGCATCAGGTTCGACGCAATCAAGCACTATAGTGAGGACTTCTTGCGCCAATTCATCACCGAGCTGGACAAGGAGTACGGTGAGGGATGGTTCTTTGTCGGCGAGTTCTGGAAAGATAGCCTTGACGACATGAGTGAGTATCTGGCTCGTATGGGCCGCCGGTTCACCCTTTTCGACGCGCCCTTGGTATACAACTTCAGCGAGATCAGCAAGGGCAACGGAGCGGATATGAGGAAGGTGTTTGACGATACGTTGGTGCAGAAGGAACCCATCAACGCCGTGGTAAGTTCATCTTCAGCCGATTCTGGTGGCATCATCTGACAGAAGTAGACCCTCGTCATGAACCACGACACCCAACCTTACCAAGCCCTCGAAGCACCCATCGAGGGCTGGTTCAAGCCGATTGCGTACGCCCTTATTCTCCTCCGCACCTCCGGCTACCCTTGCGTCTGGTACGGTGACCTCTACGGCATCAAGGGAGAGCACCCCTTCCCGCCATCATGCGGCGGCGCTCTGTCGAAGCTTATCCTTGCCAGAAAGCTCTATGCCTACGGTGAGCAGGCCGACTACTTTGACTATGCCACGTGTCTCGGCTGGGTCAAGTACGGAACCTGGGACCGTCCCTACGGCTGCGCGGTCGTTGTCAGCAATGCCGGGCCCGGCTCCAAGCGGATGCACGTCGGCGAGATGCACGCTGGAGAGGTTTGGACCGATGTCCTCGGATGGAACGACCGTGAGGTCACCATTGGCGATGATGGCTTCGGCGAGTTCGTATGCTCTGGCACTTCAGTGAGCATCTTCGTCAACAAGGATGCAGATGGCAGAGACAAGTTTACGAAGGAATTGTGAGTACCGTCACCCCTTCCCTTGGCCTATGGATACCTAACTAACGTCTGATAGCGACTCCAACATTTACGAGGAATGAGTTGTTAGTAGATGATGAAGAGGCTTGTAAATCCCCAATGGTTCATGATTTCCCTTTGGCTAGGTCCTGCTGGATAAGACCTGCATCGTGTGGTTTGATGACCTGGTACCTAATGGTGACATGGTCGGCAGTCATAGAGCTTCCTAGAATTCCGTATTTTTATGGAACAAGTCTAATGCTAAAATTTGGTTCGATGGGACTTTCAAAATCGCCTTTAAATCGACGCGTGTCCACTTGGGTGATTATCAATCGGAACACTGAAGCATGAGCTCGGCAGAGATCATGCCCCGCCATTTTCCACATGAGGGGCTGGAATGGGACGGACCAGGGCGCCATCGCCGGTCTCGCCCGTGCGATTGAGCATCTCAAGAGCTCCACTTTGGTCACCTTGGTGTATTTTCTCCACTTGGAGAAGCGAAGCGGATTGACGGCTAAGTAGCTGTATGCGGCTAGAATCCAGCATGCTCTGCAGCACCTCTACCGCCTAGCCGTTTCTAGTCTGACAATTGGAGCTGCATGTCAACCTGCCTAAACTTGCCGGGCCGGGCATGTGTATCCTTGAAGTGACATTCGCATTCACATTCTGGAAGTGGATAACTGCATACGCATTGTCCTTCTGGATATGGGGAATTATGCTCAGGTCTCTCTCGTTAAGATACGTGAAAAGCACGAGTCGTGTCAACGACTCAGCCGTGATTAAGGCAAGCTTCCCTCTGCCCAGGTGGGGTTTATCCTTCTTCTTAACACCGATATCATTTAGCCCGTTCGCCGATGAATCACAGACTTCCATCAGTCCGAGGGTTGATTGTTCACTTGCTAGATATGGCCAGTGTGCGAGATATCCATACCTTGACCCGATTCCACCCGGGCCGGTGGACAAAACCTCAGACAAGAAGGGTGCACCCAGCGATCCCCGCATCGTGACGCTTAGCTTATCGCCGATTTGTGCTCCGGGCCCCCACGTCATTAACCCCGCCGGCGGCCGTGGGCCGCAGCTATCAGGTGCGGAGAAGCCATCCGGCCGGTATGCCCACCCGGTGTGTGGTGTTTCATAGGCTTCCTGAATTTCCTCTTTGTCATCGCAACCGAGCAGACTGGATTATTCATTGATCATTGAGCCTTCATAAACCCCTCACTGCGCACTCGAGTTTCCATCCATTTTTGGGAATTATTAATCATCTTCTCTTTTCTTCACTTCAAAACCGTGATACCCTTTTCTCAGCACTACGACCTCTTATCAAACTACCCCGCAGAGCCGCGAAACCCATCCCTCACTAGGAACGCAGCTGAACACAACCGTCAACATGGCCGACCTCTCCGTTCAGCTTCAGGCCCCGAACGGCGTCAAGTGGACGCAGCCCACCGGTCTCTTCATCAACAACGAATTTGTCAAGTCCTCTACCGGCGAGACAATCGACACGATAGACCCCGCGTAAGCTTCACCCCTCATCTCTCGAGATACGAAAACAAAATATCTGACACATGCTGCAGGACCGAAGAGAAGATTGCCGCCGTCCAGGCCGCATCAGCTGATGATGTCGACAAGGCCGTGAAGGCTGCCTACGCCGCGCTGAGGCACGAGTCCTGGAAGGGCATCTCGGCGACGGACCGCGGAGCTTTGATGTACAAGTTCGCCGATCTCATCGAGCAGAACAAGGAGGTTCTCGCCGCCATTGACGCGTGGGACAACGGTAAGCTCAAGACATCGACAACCTGTGTCCGATGGACGAAGAAACTGAGTACCTCGCAGGCAAGACGTACGCAGATGCCCTCGACGGCGATCTGTCAGAGTGCGTCACCGTCATCCGCTACTACGCCGGCTGGGCCGACAAGACCTTCGGCCAGACCATCAACACGACCCCGGCCAAGTTCGCCTACACAATCCGCCAGCCCATCGGCGTCGTCGCCCAGGTCATCCCGTGGAACTACCCCCTCGCCATGGCTACTTGGAAGCTCGGCCCCGCCCTCGCCTGCGGAAACACCGTGGTCCTCAAAGCCGCCGAGCAAACCCCCCTCAGCATCCTGTTCCTCGGCACCCTGATCAAGGAGGCCGGCTTCCCTCCCGGCGTCGTCAACTTCGTCAACGGCCTCGGCCGCGTAGCTGGCAGCGCGCTGGTGGGCCACCCGCTCGTCGACAAGGTCGCCTTCACCGGCAGCACGGCGACCGCGCGCGCCATCATGGGCGAGGCCGCCAAGACGCTGAAGAACATCACCCTCGAAACCGGCGGCAAGTCGCCGCTGCTGGTCTTCGACGACGCGGACATCGAGCAGGCCGTGCGGTGGTCGCACATGGGCATCATGTCGAACCAGGGCCAGATCTGCACGGCGACGTCGCGCATCATCGTGCAGGCGTCCATCTACGACGATTTCATCAAGCGCTTCGTCGAGACGCTCAAGGCCGTCAGCAAGGTCGGCAGCCAGTGGGACAAGGACACCTACCAGGGCCCGCAGGTGAGCAAGGTGCAGTACGAGAAGGTGCTCGAGTACATCGACATCGGCAAGGCGGAGGGCGCGAACCTCGCGGCGGGCGGCACGCCGCTGAGCATCGGGGGCAAGGGCAAGGGCTTCTTCGTGGCGCCGACGGTGTTTACGAACGTGACGACCAAGATGCGTGTGTGGGGCGAGGAGATCTTCGGCCCTGTGGTGGTGATTGCGAGCTTCAAGGACGAGGAGGATGCGGTGGGCCTGGCGAACAGCACGCAGTACGGCCTGGGCGCGGCGGTGTTCACGCAGAATGTTGAGCGCGCGCACCGCGTGGCGTCGGAGATTGAGGCCGGCATGGTGTGGATTAACAGCACGCAGGACAGCGATCCCCGCGTGCCGTTTGGTGGTGTGAAGCAGAGCGGTATCGGAAGGGAACTGGGCGAGGCGGGATTGGAGGCGTACTCCCAGATCAAGTCTGTTCACGTCAACATGGGTACTAAGCTGTAAAGGGGTTTGAAGTGAGTGCTTGATCAACGATTTTGATACTTAATGAAGAAAATTGAAAGTTATGTGAACCGGATTGAGTGACAAAGTTGCGGGTGTTGATGAGTGTAAGGAGGCGGTCATGTGTCAACGCTTTAGGTACGCATAAGGCTCACTTCTGTGACACATGGTCTCATCATCCATACGATAAGTGACCAAGGTGACGATGAGGGTTTGAATTCTCACTGATCTCGTCGTCTATGGAAATAGCACCAGGTCGTAATGCCCGGGAAGCAGTTGCACCCTCTTTCCAGCCGCCTTTCTCGGCCCTTCGGTCCCCTGCCTAGTAATCTCGACTGCACTCTCATCTCTCGGCAGCAGCAGTGTAGCCTTCGTACTCGTCGGAACAGTAACCTTCATCCGCACATCGTCGCCCTCACGCTTGAACGTGACCTCAATCATGCCATAGGGACACTCAAACGTGCCTTCTACCAGGTTGAACTCCGACCTGAGCGGCGGCTTCACAGTCCACGTCCTGTACGCGTCGTCCTCGACCTTGACTCCCAGCACGGCCTCGTAGAACCACTCGTAGATCGTCCCCAGCATGTCGTGGCACTTGCTGCGGCATGCGTCTTGCCAGAACTCGTTGAGCGTGGTCTCGCCGCGCCGCAGGAAGCGCATGTATGAAGGGTGCTTCTCCTGGCGGGCCATCGCCATGACGATGTCGGGTCTGTCGACGTCCGTGAAGGTGTTCCAGAGCCACTTGAGGCCGATCTCGCCGGCGCGGATTCTGCAGTCCGAGACGTCGTCTACGAAGGCCTTCTGGACGTCTGAGATGTGCTCCTCGGGGACGAGACCGAACTGCAGCGCCATTGCTTGGGCAATCATGGTGCGGTCGTGAGTGTCTGGTTTGTCGAGGGAGGTGTAGAAGGCGTAAGGATGCTCCTTCTTGTCGGCGATGAGTAGGTGCTGGTTGTACACGTTGTAGATCCTATCGGCCCACTCCTTATACCGCCTCTCATCTTCGACGTAGCCCAGTTCTCGGGCCATCAACTCAACGTTGCGAAGGCACCGGTAGTAAATCGCAGTCTCGATGTTAGCTTGGTGGTTTCCGAACGCAATGTCCCGGCCCCAATCTCCGAGACCGTGCTCAATGAGCCCTCCATGTCGCTCCTTCGTGTGCAGATACTCCATGTACCGAACACAAGGTTGATACATCTTCTGGAACATGTGCGTGGACCCGTAGTACTTCTTCAGAATCTCGGGAATCAGCGCGATAGCTCCGCCCCAGGTGATGGTGTCGTGCAGCGGGCCGCACATGTACCTAATTTCAGGGGCCATCGTGGGCACCAAGCCGTTATACTCCTGCGTGTCGAAGATGTCGTCGAGAATCTTGGAGTGGAGGGCTTCAATGTCGCGGATGTACTGCGTGGCCGGCGCGAGGAGATGCGTCACCTCAAGCCATCCAAACTTCTCAATCTGCGGGCAGTCGGTGTGGTAGCTAAAGAGGTTGCTGACGAAGGACCAATAGCACATGTTGATGAGCGCGTTGGCGTCGTCGACGTCCGTCTTCATGGTACCGAGACGACGGGCTGCGGAGGAGACATGCCGGCCGACGACGGAATGGATGACGGGAAGCCCCTCGCCCTCGTTCAGTGACACGCCCTCGACCTGGATGTATCGGGCACTCGTGAAGCTGAAGTCGGGCTCCCAGACCTCAATGCTTCCGATACCAGCCAGAGTGACCTTGGAGTAGACCTTGGTCTCAAACTCCTTGAACAGAGGGTCGGGCATCAATACTCTGCCCGTCTCATCAACGCTCTCGGAGTACCGCACGATCACCTCAGCCCCTGCTGGTCCGCTGACTTCGATGCGGACCATGGTCGAGGCATTCTGGCCCAGGTCAAAGGCCACAACACCAGGCTCCAAACTCTTCTTCGAGACCGGTTCAAATGTCTCGTGCAGCGTGACCGGCGGCTGGCTCTGGTATTTGAGCTTTCCTCGCGGCCCAGTCACGGGCGTCGCTGCCTTCCACTCCGCGTCATCGAAGCCAGGCGCATCCCAACCGGCCGGGTAACTCCGGAAATCCTTGTTCTCCGAGGCGTAGATGTTCGCCAGTGTGGTCGCGCTCTTTCTCGTCTTCCAGTCCGGGCCGGTGATGATCGTCTCCCTACTACCGTCCTCGTAGAAGAGATGCAGCTCCGCAAAGAAGCAGAGCTCGTTGCCGTACCGGACGTACGTGTTGTCCTCGTACATTGGCCAGAAGAAGCGGTCGCCCTGGTCGCCTGCGTAAAACCCGTTACCAACATGAGCGCCGAGCACGTTTTCTCCCTGGTTCAGGAAGCTGCTCAAGTCGTAGGCGACGAATTGGACTGTGCGGTGGTAGTTCGTCCAGCCCGGGTCCAGGACGTGGTTTGAGGCCGGGTTGCCGTTGCAGGAGAGGTTGAAGTGGCCCAGGCCCGAGGCGAAGGCGACGGCTCGTGAAGGTTTGCGTTCGAGACGGAGCGACTTGCGGAGGTAGAAGGGCTTGTCGCTGCTGTCGCCGATCCAGACGCCCTTCCAACGGTTGGGCTCGTCTTCGAACCATGCGCGGAAGATCAGGCTCGTGTGGGGCATCTGCAAACGAGCTGATGTTAGTATACAAGTTCATTGTAGTCGTTGCTGGGCTGGGCTTACGTAGGTCTGGTTCATGCTGTAGGGAGGCAGAAGCCTGCTCGATCTGGGGTACGCTGTGAAGAACTCATTCACGCCACTGGATGAAGGCTGGCCATCCTGATCCCAAACGGTAACCTTCCAGTAGTGGAAGCTAGCCGACTTGAAGCCGCCATCTGGCTTGCAGAGAATGTTTCGCTGAGCATTGCTCTCAACCTTGTCAGAATCCCACAGAATGTCTGAATGCGAGGATTGATCAAGCGCTTGTTGGCTCAGGGCTACCACCACCCGGTACGCGGTCTGTGAAGCATGCTCGAAGTCGGAGTGAAGAGTCCAGTAGAATCGGATCTCGTCTGTGTCAATGCCCAGGGTCTCATGAAAGGCATGGATCCCGCAACGCGTTACTTCCATGGTGAATGACCAGGGGTGTTGGAGGCCAGGGCGATATGTTACCGTCAATAACGACCTGGGCAAGCGAGACAATTCACAGCCGTCCAAGCGGCTCAAGTATTGGTGCTCGGCCTAGTGCGTATACGGTTTGTACGGAAGTCTCGCAATGTTTCGGACAAGTTCCGCAGACAGACAGTTCACGATGTGTAAAAAGAGCAAGGCCAGGCGAGGGCTTCAAGTCATCAATGTCCCGAGAGGACCGAGTTTCGGTGCTTTGTTATCTCGAAAAGGTGGCTCTGGCGGGGGCTGAAACATACCACTACCGTTGTTGGTTCCCCATTCACCTGGGTCGCATTGCGCCGAGAGTGGACAAGGTCTTGGAGAGCCGGTGGGTTGGATTATCGCAATTCGGTACTCGGAGGCTTGACTTTGAGTCCGCTATCTGGCCGAGCACAGGTGACGGGTGGGGTTTGTGAGTGTGTCATCGAATGGGAGGCGGGATTCTCGCCGCGTTGTTGACAAGTTTGGTCCTAGCGTGATGTTTGGCGGAGATCCCGGGGTGAGACCGGGTTATCCGGGGCAGTCACCACCATATATTCAATCTACTCAGCTCACCGGCTCTTCACGATTGAATCGTCCCTCTTTCGGGCTTGCAAAGAGTACCGAATAGCGAGTTGAGCCAAACCAACAAGACTCTTCCGCATATTTTAAAAATGTACTCTGCCCGTTCTAGAAACCCCACCGTCCCGGACTCGGCCCCTCGTAAACTCCACATACCGCTGCACAGGACCGGAAGAGCTTACAGAATGAGTACAATACGAAATCTTCTAGTACCGTAATCACGGTAGGCATTGGCAGTAGCATAGCATCCAGTTCGGTAATGTCGGGGTAAAGATACAGCTTAGTATGGGGTGGTTGTGGGGGAGGTTTGCCCCCAGATTCTGGAGGTTGTAAGATCAGGGGAGGATCGGCCGAGTACAAGAAGAGAGCCCCACCTGATGGGATGACACCTTGATCTGGGCTTGTACGCGGGCGAAGAGTCTATTTGTCTCTACAGCTAGTGCAATTTCCTGAAATCTCTTCATCCTTAGAAGTTGTATTTGAACCTTCGTCTGATCGCGAGACTTTTTGGGCTTCTGCACTTCATCTTATCCCAACATTGTCGAGCCGACTCCAGGTATCCCTACTGCGAACACCATGGGGCGTCTCACCACTGTATTTTCGGCCGTCTTCTTGGCTATAGGAGGTTTCCTATTTGGCTATGATTCCGGTATCATCACGTCCACGATCGCGCTTGACACGTTCAAAGAGTACTTCAGCGACCCGTCAGACACCGTCACTGGCGGCATCGTGTCGGCCTTCCAAGGAGGCGCGATTCTCGGCACCATCATAAACATGATGTTCGCGAACTGGATGGGCCGCCGAAACACCATCTTCGTCGGTTCCGTGGTGTCGTGCATCGGCTCCGCGCTGCAGGCAGGCTCCGTGAACATGACTATGCTCATCATCGGCCGCTTCCTGGGAGGCGCAGCCGTGGGACAGCTCACCTCGACGATTCCGATGTACGCCTCTGAGTTGTCCGAGGCGAGGTACCGTGGTGTTCTCTCCGGACTGTTGCAGTGGATGTTGAGTTGGGGTTTCTTTGTCGCCCAGTGGCTGGGATACGGCTGCTCCTTCAACCACACCGCGTTCTCTTGTCAGTGCCTGGTCAGACCCCAACACGTTTTGAAAACACTGCTAACCTTCTGACAGGGAGATTCCCCCTTGCTTTCCAATGCGTCCCCGGAATCATTCTCATTTCCGGCGTGTACTTCTTGCAAGAATCCCCTCGATGGCTCATGGAGAGAGATCGTCATGAAGAAGCCCGCGCGTCCCTGAACAAACTCCGAAGCGGCCTCGACGAAGAAACAATTGACCTTGAGTTCCGGGAGATCCGCGACGTCATTCTTGCTGACAGAGCTGTCGGCGATGTCTCGTGGAAG